ACACACCAACATCAATTTAACCCCAGTGCTTAATAAAAGTATGTATTGTTCAATCAATGTAAATAATCATACATATATAAGATTTCGTGATTCCAATGACGATGATACAATGGGAATTATATCATTTTTCGCACTTTTATTAGGAAAAAGAATTTACTTGAAATTATTGATCAATGGCTCTGAGAACATTTATCAAAATTAAGACAAACAATGACTATGTCCCAGCTGGTGTTCAATTATAATGAAAACAGTTGAAATTTGTGTTAGAAACTTAACTTCTTTTCAGTTATTGGTAATAGAACAATCATTCAATTAAATATAAAATTTAGAATAACCTAAATCTAAATGACTACTTATATGTCACATTGAATCCAAAATCCAAATTTTCAGTTTTGTTTTCTTATTTTGCAATACCTTTTACTCTTTCTTCTTTTAAGAATTACAAATTTTGTTATCAAACATATAAACTATTTTCCAATTCAAGGCCATTTGCTCCATTTTCTTTCCACTCATATTATATGTTCAATCCAGATTTTTCCCCGGTAAGGAAGTCGATTTTTTTTTTAAAGCAGTCCAATTTAAATTTCATTTGATTTAAGGTGGGATTTTTTGCAGCAAACCCGTTTTGAAAATGTGGGGATTGATTGAAGGTCAGCTGTTGGCAAATAACTGAGGTGGTAGTGGTGGTACATATTATAATAACCATCGGAATCGTTAAAAATACTTGTCTAATAATATGTGTATAATTGTTTTTCCATGAAATTGCCATTTAAAGCTTACTGTCAAGCAAAGTCTAAAAATGGACACCAACTTTCGCACAGACACTTGATAACTCCATCTTAACTCCCGAAGCGCTTTTCTGGATTTTCCTTCAACAAGAATGCTCATACGCAAACATATGTAGAAGTCAGATTTGATATTTTTCATTGTTATATAACAACTAAAATATATGATCAACATTTAGAAGTGTCAAGTTCTTTACGACTACATCGACATACCACTTATGTAAATTACTGAATGGGGGATAACTCTTTTATGAACGACCAAATTTTCTGGATAAAATAACAAAAATATATAATATTAAATTTTTATTTCAAGTTGATGGTTTTTGAAGAAGTACATGTAGTGCTTGTGAGAAAAATCCGTGCAAAAGGAAGGTTAACCTCTACAGAAAAAAAAATTGTTTGTGATGCGGTCGATGTCAATATTGTAGTAACTTCAATATTGAGTACCAAATAAATTTTGTTATCTCGCGGAAGAAAAAAAACGAGAAAGATTTTTGAATGGCATATAAATTAGAATAAATATCAGAAGAAACTGTGAAAATTCATCCATGGCAAAAGTTAAAAGACCTAAATATGTCTTTATTTTTAATTTCAGAGTTACATTGCTACAATAGATATACCAATGGATCGAATTTTTTAGGAAACATAACCAAATCAAATGGAAGTCCATGTTTGAAATGGAACATGGTAAATTCGCCTAGAGTAAAATACCACGAAGACCATAACTACTGTCGTAATCCATTACCTAGTGAAGTTGACAGGCCGTTTTGTTACACCAGAGCTTCAGATTTTGCTTTTGAAAAATGTGATATTCCAATTTGTGGTAAGTATTACCGTATTTTAAGAACGAATAAACAAATGTTTTACAAATTATTGTTAGTCCTTGAAACTTTTACTACAAAAATCATTCAATGTCAAAATTTAATCAATGATTATTGTTGTTCGTCTTTTTGAATTAAATAAAAATAAAGTTTCTCCTTTGAAATACAAAAGATTTGTTATGGGAATATAGTAAAGTAACAATCAGGAGTACAGATAAAATGTCCTCTTCATATAGTCAGGGGCATTACTTAAACAAGTACATTTCAAAATTACCATTACAAGTTATGTTGAAAACGAGGCTTTTTAAATATTACTTATATAAGCAACTTTTTAAAATATTATTTACATAGGTGTCCATTCATTTAGATTTTACTAACTAAAACAAATTTTCACAGACCTCTGGTTATTTTTCCCATGAAATTTAAAAACTTATCCTCCTGAAACACTTATTGTCTTCCAGACGCACTAACATTTCATATCGGCGCTTCTGGTCAAGTATTGGTCTCTTCGGACTATAACAATATCATTATCCTTGAAACACTTGAAGGTAGACAGGTATAAATAGATGGAAACCTGTAAATCAAGCGTATCAAACAATTTTGTAAATGTTCAATATTGAAAACCACCGTAAACTTTACATTTAGATATTAACAAAGCCAACGATCTAATAGCGGCTTTAGCAACTACTTTTGCCATATTATCATAGCTTAAATGCTCAGTAAACAATAAACCTAAATATATATTTTGAGAAACATTATCAATATTGTTACCATTAAGCACAAGTGGAAAATTTGATCTAGATACAGACTGTGTTCTAAAATGTACTATTTAAAAAAAAAATTAACAGATAGGTCATTAGTACAGCACCGTATATTCAAAACATCTAATATTTTTTGTAAATCACTTTCATTCTCAGTAATAAATAAAAGATCATCTGCATATAACAACATGCTAACTTTATGATTTTCAATGTCTATACCTATGTTAAATTTCTTAACCTAATCAACAAGATCATTTTTATATATAGATGTTAAATAACAGAGACGAAAGGATACATACACCCTTGTTTTAGACCACAATTTACATCAAACCAATCTGTTAAGTTACCATGTACTTTAACACAAGACTGTACATTATTATAAGGAGAATAAAGTGACTGTAATATTTTTGAGCTAATACCAATTGATTTTAATTTACAAAATAATAAATTTCTATTTATCCAATCGTAAGCTTTTTTGAAGTCAATGGATGCCACATATGTTGATTGTTTACGAAGTTTTCTAGTTTCTATAATGGTAGACAGTGTACTTAAATGGTCGACAGTACTACGCCCTTATCTTAAACCGGTTTGTTCGTCACATAGGAAGTCAATATCATCAAGCTTGTACGTTAGTCGTGAGTTCAATACCTACAGTACAGTTTGTAGGAATCTGGTGCTAAAGTAATACCAATGTACGACAAAGGATCCCTCGGATCTGATGTTGAGCTTTTCGGAAAAGGCGTTATAATCCCTTCTGACCACATTACCGGAACATTACCAGAGTTAAACCAAACGTTGAAAACTCTAGTGAGTGCATTTAACATAGTTTGGTTCTTGTACAATTCAACTGGTATTTCGTCATATCCAGGTGATTTACCTTTTTTGAACATTTTAAAACATTAAATACTTCTTCAACAGATATTTCACAATCTAACATATCATCATATAAAACATCTACATCATTTTCACACATATTTACAAGACTATCATGATTTTTATTAAACATATTAGAGAAATCGCACTTCCATTTATTTAAGACTTCATCTTTATCACAAGAAATTTGACCATTATCTAATTTTACTTCATGGGAATACTCAAAAGATCGGTACGGGGCACAAAAACAACTACTAGTAACATAAAAATAATAGACACAAAACAACGAAATAAGAGTACTCGCAGTTACAGAAAGATAACTCTAAGCCAATTACAACTTATAAATAAATCATGTTCTCCAAGAATTAAGTATCAATCAGTACACATCCAACGGGTTAAGTGTAAAGACGTCATACACAGTCTGAAAACCACATGACCTTTTGCAATGCCAAAAATATAAGTAAACAGTAACGACAGAATGTAGGATAATGAGTTCTCATAACTGTACATATATATCAATATATATTTAGTTATGTTTTAATTTTTCAAAAACAAAATCGATGTTAGTACCAATAAAAACAAGCTACTGTGTTAAATTGATAACCTTTAAGAATCATTTTTTTTCAAAGGATCAATTAGTTCACAAGGATCTATCTAAATTGACTGACTTTGTAAACAACATCACCGTAAAAATTGTGATATCCCGTTTTTGATTAAAGCTCTACAGATACAGCCAAACTTCCTTACCAAATCTTTGTATCCACGAAAGAATTTGGTACAGATTTTAATTAAGAAATCCCTGACTTAATAATTTATCAATTATACATACATTAGTAGTTTACCGATGTTCTAATGTCATAAGACGACTATTCTTGTATCTGAAGATCTAAGACTGCAAAAAACATGTTGCAATTGAGTAAAGACACAAACGTATCGTATAGGTAAAACAGAAATCGTGATGGTGACCCTAAAAATTATGTAGTATCGATTTCAGTAGTTCTTCCTCTTAATTCTGTTGGATCACAAACCGGCTTACGAAGTCCGTATAGTGTGAAAGAGAGGCGGAAGATATCAAAGGAATATTCAAACAAATAAGTCGAAAAGAAACTGACAATGCCATGGCAAAAAAATGAAGAACGATCAAAAGACAAACAATATACAAAAAACAACATACAAAACAAAAGACTGAGCAACACGAACTCCACCAAAAAACCGGGGTGATATCAGGTGCTCCGAAAGGGTAAGCATATCCTTCTCCACATGTGGCACACGTTGTGTTGATCATGTAGATACAAACTCGGTGACAAATCTAATTCGGTAGGTCAAATTTGGGGAAAAGAGGAGGGGATTATGGTTACGACAATCAGAACATATCTGTCGTCATCTGTGAAACAGGTATTTCATTACGGTTAACCAACGTGATGGCTAGAAGATTCAATATACTATTTTCATATTACCGATTTTGACTACTGAGTTTATAATTTTTCGACAGTTTACCTACTCTGTGGTAGACAATTAGGGTAAAAAAAATCTTTTATATGTTTCTTTACATAAGAAAATCATCGGAAAACAACGCGCAGAAACCCGAAATGAATGAACAAGACAGTATAAGTGTTCATTCTTATATGTTAAATATGGTTAATTTGCAAAAGAACTTTATATCCAAATTGGTTAACAAAACATTTTTTTTTATTGATATAATCATGGTTGTGTTAATTTCTTAAATTTACTCAAAATATTATAATTATACCACAGACTGCAGAAATTCAACAAGTGACCATAGTTACAGTGGAAAGAAAAACGTAACTATGACAGGAAATGAATGCATTCATTGGATGAATGCTTCTGCATACACTACTCAAGACAAAAATTACTGTAGGACACCTGCAGGAGAATCTGACAATGTTGATGGTCCTTGGTGTTATATTAATAATTTTACAGGCCGGGAAACGTGTAATGTACCCGTGTGCGATGGTAAGTTAGTTAAACACAAACAATGCATACGATAAAAGAAATTGACATTAAGTAACAGCATTGCATGTACATAATTGAAATATTAATTCTTTTAGTTTCTTCTCGTTTTTCGGATATTGTTACTACATTGTAAACCGTACAGACCAGAATCCAATTAAAATGTGTGCATAGAAACTGCCTCACATTTTTTCAACGTAACCTTTTACTCTTTTCAAGTAGTCACAGTGATTATTTAGTATTATATTTTTGTATGGAGACTTGAAATTTAAATCATTCATTTAAATAAAAACAGCAAGCTTATTGAAATACCATATATAAAATGTATTCTTAAGAGTAAATGGAGATGAGAGCCATACGTCAATAAGAACGCAACCGACAGGACATATGTTCTTTTCACTATTGTAAACAACGATTAAAACAGGTTCCATACACAGCAGATGCATGTAAATACACTGTATGAGAAAACACTCGACTCACACATGCTCTGTCATACATGTATTATACAAATCAAAACAAAACAAAATAAAATACAAGGTCATAAGCTTTCTCTTAGATTTAGTTTTAATTCAGCTCATGAAAATTCATAGAGATGATATTATACCTTTTAACATTCTGGCTCTCTATTATGGCATGGTATTGGTTGCAAAAATTTGATATTTTTCATTTAAATGCAATATTTTAAATTTAATTGGTATATTTCTTCATTTAAATGCAATATTTTTTTTATTTGAATGGTATATTTTTTCATTTAAATGCAATATTTTTTATTCAAATGGTATAATTTGTCATTCAAATGCAATATTTTTTATTTGAATGGTATATTTTTTCATTTAAATGCAATATTTTTTATTCAAATGCAATATTTTTTATTCAATTGGTATAGTAGTTTTTTTATTTATATGCAATAATTGCATTATGGGAAATTCTTTGACGTCATAATGTCAAATTTGCAACAACGTTTGTGATTGGTCGGTATTGTTTGGATTCTTTCTAAACATGAGTGACCAAGAATTAAAAAACGCGTCAGAATATCGCCCCTCTAACTAAATCTGGCGTTCGTGCGAGTTCTGCACTGGCTGTTAAAATCTTCTGGTCCTAACTATTATTTCTATTGCAAAATTTCGATGGTCAAAACGTTCTGACCACAACTTTTCAAAAACTTTCATTATTTATGGATCTATATGCAAGTATAACTTTTTTTTTTGGATTAGACACCGTTGGTTTTCCCGTTTGAATGGTTTTACACTAGTCATTTTTGGGGGCCCTTTATATCTTGTTGTTCGGTGTGAGCAAAGACTACGTGTTGAAAACCGTACTTTGACCTTTATAATGGTTTACATTTACAAATTATGACTTGGATGGATATTTGTCTCATTGGCACTCATACCACATCTTCTTTTATCTGTATACAACGTAAACCAGACGTTTCTTAGATTGTTTTCTTTTTTTAAGAAATCCTTTGCCGCGCGTTGTGTACTGATTGATACTTCAGTCTGAGAGAACAAGATTTATTTCAGTACTAGTTGTAATTAGCTTTGAGGGAACTATCAGTAATTGCAAATACTCTTATGTCGGTGCTTTGTGTCTATTGTCTTAATGTTAGTTTTTTTTTGTGTGTCTCGTACCGATCTTTTGAGTTAATCTAATTGCAACTGATAAGTGCAGGTTGTTCTTTTATTGGACTGTTACACCACTGTCCAAGCTTCGGGATGGGTTGAGTGCTCACAAACATGTTGTTGTACTGTTACACTACTGTCCCAGGTTAGGGAGAGGATTGGTATCCCGCTAACATGTTTAACCCCGCCACATTCTGTATGTATGTGCTTGTCCCAAGTCAGGAGCCTGTAATTCAGTGGTTGCCGTTTGTTGCTGTGTTATACATATTTGTGTTTCGTTCATTTTATTGTACATTAATTCGGCCGTTAATTTTCTCGTTTGAATTGTTTTACATTTGTGATTTCATGGCTTTTTATAGCTGACTATGCGGTGTAGGCTTTGCTTATTTTCGAAGGCTGTACGGTGACTTATAGCTGTTGATTTCTGTGTAATTTTGAGAGTTGTCTCATTTGCAATCATACCACATCTTCGTTTTTATATTAACCCTGCCATCTTTTTTATTTGCCTGTCCCAGGTCAGGAGCCTGTAGTTTAGTGGTTGTCGTTGGTTCATGTCTCGACTCATATTTGATACTTTGTAAATTGTTTTGTTATGTATAATTAGACCGTTAGTTTTTCGTTTGAATTGTTCACACTTTTCATGTCGGGCCTTTTATAGACGACTTTACAGTAATAGGTTTTTGTCGTTGTTGAAGGCCTTACGATTGTCTATAATTGCTTACATCCACTTCATATTTGAAATCCGGTGGATAGTTACCTTATTAGCAATCATATCCCATCTCTTCGTTTTTATATTATATACATGACTTCTAAACTCGTGTTTTCCTGAACAAGCATGAAATATTTGTCACTGGGCGTTAAAAAGCAACAAACAATCAATCAATTTAAACTTGTGTTAAATAAGAGGAAAACCATTTGATATTTATTTATGTGTTGGGGTGGGGACAGAAGGATTTAATATATGAATATGGTTGCCTAGTAAAAGAGCTGAAAATAGGCATGATTAGCGACAGATTAAAATGAATAATAATGCCCTCTCTTCCCTTCCCCATCCTTCATCTATAAATTAAACTGACCACACGGAATAGCCCAATAATGTTGAAAGTAGTGTTAAACACCAATCAATCAAAATCCCTTTCCTAGAATATCAAATAATCGTCCCTTAACTGTTATTGTTCGTGTAGTTCTTATATTTATCCAGCTTATCGTTCTATAGGGATATCCTACTAAGGCTGGCATACCATAAAAACGTTTATAACACAGCTCACATTCTAATATATCAGCATTCATAAATTTATTAACGTCATTTAGACTAAACGACGCCATGTTTGTTATGTGCCTCTGCCGTCTAAACAACCTATCAAAAAAGAAGAGGTGGAAGAGAGCCAGAACATCTTCCCAATGCAAATCAAAGTACTGAAGTACTGAACATCGGATGACTGCAAGTTCTTGTGGATGGGCAAAAGCACTTGTCACAGAAAAAGATCACATCTCTATACCTGAAACTGAGGTAAATGTACAGAGATATATTTTTTTCTGAGACAAGTTCGTGCGTGGATGATGAATAAATGACATGAAATTCAACCGCACAGTAGTAACTATTATATTGTGTTGATACAAATCAGTATACACTGGTTTGTTGTTATATATTATATTAATATAACAGTTACATGTATATATAATTTCCATCCATTTGTATATCATTCTATTCAACTATTCTAATAATAGTGCAGTGCAAGTGCATGGTGGACACTCTTCTGTAAAAATTCGATTTTTCTAAAAGATTGGATATGAGAAGGCATTCATATTTTCCCGTAAAAACAATTACAGAGTTACCGGTCCTTGCCGGGATCGTCGCAAACACGTTCTTGAGATATTCTTCCGCATGCTTTAACACACTTTTTAGGTACGTGTGCATAGATATTATTAATGATATTTTACTTATATATAATATATATATATATCTAACGACAAAACATTTTCATATTATTAATTTATATTCTAAACAAAAATATTTTTATCAGTATTCATTGAAGAGATGTATTTATAACAAACGATAAGGAATGTTAGTTTGCACTAGTTAATTTCCGCGTATTTATCATGTTTATAGATCGGTTACAAACCCAAAACGAAAGTTATGTGTGCAAATCTAGGCGATAGCAATACATCGGAATACCCTCACGGTCATCTCGATGTAAAAAACAGAAATGGACTTCTTCTGGCTCACTACCGAAGAACAAACAAACGCGCCCTACTAATATGTTTTAAAAACGCCTTGCCCCTACCTTTTTTTCCAAAAAAATGGCATTGTTAAATATATATACATATATATAATCATCATTAAAATGCTATTGTATTTTTTATAAGACCTACTTTATTACATGATCCTGGACTAATGACATCTATTTATAAGTCCAAGCATACAGTAAATTATTATAATATGAATATGTTTCTTGTTTTAATAACCGCATATGATGCTATGCATGAGTCACCATTTATCAGGACAGGAATTGGGTTTACATAGAGAGAATAATGTGCAAAAAATAGATAAGGGGCGGGACCAAACCTATAGATAAAATAATAAAAAATGATGAAATATAAAGAATACGTTGATTGTTTTTTGGTTACCTTATGTCTAGTGGCAAATATTTCACGCATGTTTAAGACAAATATAATAGAGATCAAAGGATAAAGAAAAGAGTGAAATGGTAAAAACTAAAAGATATAGAATTATAGAAACGATCTTTGATCTGAACCCCACCCACCCCCACCCCCCTCCCCTCACACACACACACATCATAACCATTACTGTCAATACTCGCATATATAAATCTCTATACAAATATCTAAATCTGAACCCTCCCCCACCCCCCTAGACACAGAGGTTCTGGATCCGCCCCTGTAAAATGTATCTTATTATATACATCGGTATAAGGACATCATTCGTAAATATAGCTCAACATGCAGACTTCTTATACGTTCAGGTATTTCACATCCAATTTTTTATGGAAATATTCTTTATAAAGCACAAAAATGTCAGTATTCACCTCTGAAGCTAACAAAACCTTTAAATAGACTTATTAAGAAGGGATATAGTTACAATACTGTTAACAGGTCATTAAAGATTACATATTTTGGCGTTAATATTCAAATTGATTCACTTATAGGGTCTTTGCATCGGCACTAAACACATTTATTTAAAAACCAGTTGTTGGCATGACACGGGTTATGTTCTTCTCATATATGTTATGATGGTATGATACTAAACCCCTAACGGGAAGGATTTTGCCTGATATTCATATGATGAAGACATAATCTTTCAATCAGTTTAATTGAAGCCTGGAGCTGGCATGTCAGTTAACTGCTAGTAGTCTGTTGTTATTTATGTATTATTGTCATTTTGTTTATTTTCTTTTGTTACATCTTCTGACATCAGACTCGGACTTCTCTTGAACTGAATTTTAATGTGCGTATTGTTATGCGTTTACTTTTCTACATTGGCTAGAGGTATAGGGGAGGGTTGAGATCTCATATACATGTTTAACCCCGCCGCATTTTTGCGCCTGTCCCAAGTCAGGAGCCTCTAGCCTTTGTTAGTCTTGTATTATTTTTAATTTTAGTTTCTTGTGTACAATTTGGAGTTTAGTATGGCGTTCATTATCACTGAACTAGTATATATATTTGTTTAGGGGCCAGCTGAAGGACGCCTCCGGGTGCGGGAATTTCTCGCTGCATTGAAGACCTGTTGGTGACCTTCTGCTGTTGTCTGTTCTAGGGTCGGGTTGTTGTCTCTTTGACACATTCCCCATTTCCATTCTCAATTTTATTTTGTACGGGTCTAGATAATAGCTAAACGTACAATTCTATAATTTGTTGGATACAAAATTACAAATCATTAAATATTTGTATCTAATTATATTATATACTGTGTCACAAAATAATCTTGTATACCCCCCCCCCCCCCCCCCTTTTCCCAATGCAGCATTGAAATGTAAATCATTTAAAAGTCCTGAAGAAAAAATATGTTTTGAAATATGCCCTGCATACTTATTTATGCAAAGACATATAGTAATTATTGAACTACTGTGGGACTTGAAAAAAAAATCTATTTAAGGGATTCGGAGACGGGAACAGTGAAAAATGCTCAGCAACGAATCCTAAATGTAAAATGATTTGCGGCATATGACATGAGAGCACATATTATAGATAGTCCAAAATATGAAGTTCACGCCTTAAACAGTGTACGTCCTATGTCATAGGACTATTGTTGTAACATGGGTTAGTTACTTGTTCCAATTTTTCCCGAATTGTCTTTATTAAAGAATTAGTTCCGGAGTATCACAGCTCAGGTCTCTTCTTGTGGGTCTCTGGTTCTGCTGTCGTAATGAGGTGATTTTTTTTCTAAGGGAGTTTCTTCAGAAAGAGTTTTCATTGGATGCATTTTTGCCATGCACGTAGGCATCTGTTTCTATCCATGAACAGGTTGTGTGTCAAATTAATTATTATTACTTGTCAAATTAATTATTGTTACTTATAACTCGCATTTTTTGCTCGACCTAACCATTATTGGCATTAGAGGGGCGATATTCCGACGCGTTTTTTTTAATTCTTGGTCACTCATGTTTAGAAAGAAAGGGGAGAAATCCAAACAATTCCCGCCCAATCACAAACGTTGTTGCAAATTTGACCTTATGACGTCAAAAAATTACCCATAATGCAAATATTGCATATAAAAAAAAAATCTACTATACCAATTGAATAAAAAATATTGCATTTGAATGACAAATTATACCATTTGAATAAAAAATATTGCATTTAAATGAAAAAATATACCATTCAAATAAAAAATATTGCATTTGAATGAAGAAATATACCAATTAAATTTAAAATATTGCATATAAATGAAAAATATCAAATTTTTGCAACCAATACCATGCCATACTCTATAAAGGATTAGATAAAGACATTTCACACAAATTTTAACTCTGATTTTTTAAACTTTTGTTTATCAGTATAAAATAAAGAGACGTGGTACAATTAATGAGACAACTATCCAAGAGAGTCCAAATGACGTGGATTTAAGAAAATATAGGTTACCATACAGTCTTCAACAATGAGAAAATCCATACAGCATGTCAGCTATAAATAGACCCTACATGCATAAAGTGTGAAAGAATTCAAACAAAAAATGCAACGGCCTGATTTATGACAAAACAATAAACGAAAACGAATATTACAGACAGCAACCAACGATAACCCCTGAATTATAGGCTCTTGACTTGTGGCAAGCACATATTGAATGTTTTTGGATTAAACATGTTTGTGAACTCTCAATCCTCCCTTAACCTGTGACAGTGGTGTAACAGCACACCAGACTGTAAAATTCAGTTGGAAATGGCTTTACCCATCAGATTGGCACGAAGTACTACACAGACAAAAGTCACAAAAGTACCGATCACAGTTACTGAAAGCTAGTTCAAAGCCAATAATTTTAGGATACGGATTAATATAAGTTAACAGCTTTTCCCATGATCCTATTAATTATTCAATCGTATTAATATGTTTATGCCAAATTATGTATTCTATTTAACTTGAATTTAATTACTAGTAACCACTATATGTTTATACAAAGCTAAGAACAACAAATACAGAAATCCTATTCTCCAACACCAAAGTATCAATTAGTACAACATATTAAATTTAAAGACTCATAAACAGTCCGAGAAAAGCATAACCGCGTGAAATTTACAAAATATAGGTAAATTATATCGACAGGATATTTGCATAAATGTTTGTAGCAATACATATGCAGTTACAAAATTTGACAATGCAAACGTCTAATACAAATATGTACATAATTTTAATGCAGAAAAATAAGCTTGGTTTCAAACTATAAATAAGAGAATTTATTTTCGTCAAATAGAATAACAGAGGCAATTGTTGACCATCAACTGCAATAACATAAATCAAAATTTAATACATCCATAAAGATCGAAAGATTTGAACTTGTTAGGTTTATGAATATATGTTGAATAACCGTTAAAAGCTTTGCAAAAATTGGTGTGAACAACTGCTCTCTAATTAAATTCCTGAAGCTTCAATTACATAGTATATACAAAGATTAACAGGTTTCATTAAAACTAATGAACAATACAACAGACAACACAAACAACCGATTCCTCCGAAAAAAGCCATGACGTACAAACAAAGAGAAGCAACAGCAAACAACTCATTGTCCAGATATTCTGACTTGGTAGAGGCACACAATGAATGTGTGTATGTGTGATAGGAAAATTGGGGTTGGGTGATATATCAGTTTTACATGCGCCTAAACCTCACCTATTGACTCTCTAGATCGGATGTCGTAAAATAAGACATAAAATAAAAGCCTATTAGTCTGTAACAGGGCAACTACATGTACCAACAGGATGACCACTTATTTTAAAAAGTAAATGAAACAAATGGGCAAATAATTTGGAAAGCAGACTCAAAATGTCACACGTTGAGTAGTGTGAACATAAATAGAAGGGTCAATCTAAACTAAAACCACAATTACATGAGAGATATATATAACACGTATAATGTTATGTTTGTCTTTAAAACAAATCAATATATGTTGCTTTTGAAGTTTTTTTTAAATTTAAATTCCATAAAAAACACGTAAACGTTTGTTATGCTTTATTCTAAAATTGTCATCCAATACCAATATTGCGAAAACCATATTAGTTTTAATTTGATTCTTAAAAAATCTTTGTATCATTATTGAAAAGGGATGTTCTGTCTTAAAAAACTGAGTAGAATTTAGTTAAGAATATAAGGCAAAAAGTTCCTTAGTTATTTCATATATGTACAATTTAGGTGCACAATGTCCTGATCTATCTGTGAGGCCTAATTTAATTTCAAAAGAAGGAAAGACTACATTCCACTACGGCGAAAAGGCTGCTCTTACATGTAAAGCTGGATATAAATTAAAAAAAACGACTACTCTGACGTGTCTGCAGTCAGGGAATTGGAATGAAAGGTTACCTTATTGTGAAGGTTTGTTTATGAAGTTTAAAAAAACCATTATTGATTCATGCAGCTATTTTTCAATACAGCATTGCAATGTCGATTAATGAAATCATTATAAAAAGTACTATTGAAGTCTTTTAAAGAAACAAATAAAGCCTACAACACTTTACACTCACTATGTATGTATTAATAGTAAACTCTTTTGCATTTTAAAAATTGCGTAAAATGAACAAAATAACCATAACCAAATTAAATGAAGTGTATATATATGTATATACGACACCGTATTTATTTACTTTTGCTATATATATGCATATATGTCGTTTCAGAGGTGAACTGCTACAACAAGTACAACCGTGGTCAAAACTATGTAGGTAATGTCAGTAAAACATTAACAGGAGAACCATGTTTGAACTGGAAGGTATATAATTCTCGTTTTGTAGACCTTCATGAAAACCATACATACTGTCGTAATCCTCTACCAAGTGAAGTTGATAGACCATTTTGTTATACAGGAGCCGGATTTGTTTTTGAAAAGTGCATCATAACAGTCTGTGGTACAGTATACGCATTTTGTATTTTCAATTTACTTTCCAAACTGATTCTATCATACAAAAAAAACGAAAAATGATAAAAAAATAAAAATATATTTTCATTTCCCATTTGGGTTTTTTCTCTAGACTTTAAATAATTATTCTAAATATTTTTGCAACGATGTCGATAAATATTTCGGCATTACAAATGGCCTTTGTCAGTGTCAATCTTTTTTTTTAAATGTAATAAAACAATATAATATCAAAATAAGGAGATGTGTCGTATAATTGTCAATGAGCCGACTTTCACCAGAGCTCTAATGACGTGGATGTAAGCATTTATAGGTCACCGATCATCTTTCAACAATGAGAAAAACCAACACAGTATAGTCAGTTATAAAAGACCCCAGACATGACAAAATGTGAGAAACATCAAACGAGAAATATCAACGGCCGGATTAATAACAAAGCAATTGACGACGACTAAAAAGACAGACATGAGAACATACAGTAAATATCAGTTGGAAATGGCTTAAGTCAATTGATATTGGTACGGATTACAAAAACAACTAACATAAAGGCAAAAGATAAAAAGTATCGATTAAAGAGTACTCCCAGTTACTGAAAGCTAGTTAAAAGTCAATAACAACTGGTAAATAACAATGTCCTCCCAGACTAACGTACCAATCAGGACACATCCAGCGGATTCAGTAAGAAGAGTCCGAGAAAAGTATTGTGCAATGCCAAAATATATATGTAAATAGTATCGACAGGAAGTAGGCTCATAAGTATTCATAACTGTAAAGCAATACTTGTTTAGTTATGTTTTAATTCAATCAATGTAAGAACCGATAAAATAAATATTTAAAGATTTTACTGCAGTGTTAAATTGTTAAACTTTTAGAATAAGTTTATTCAAGGATCGATAAACTTACTTGGAACGTATCTCAATTTACAGGCTCTATAAATAACATCACACAGGCTCACTCATACAAAAAACAAATAACTCATACAATTCATTACATTTTAAAAAAGGATTGACACTGACGGACGCCATTTTTGGCCGAAATATTTGTTCAAAGATTTCATTATTTCATTTCATCTTGTTCGTATGTTTCTCTAAACTTTGATTTTAATATATCTTATATATACATGTATACAAATCTGGCATTTTGTAATATATATATCCCCAAAAAGAGGTATCATATTTTTTTCTTTTTTTAAATCCTTTTATCTTAACATGTTGCATGTGTTGCGCATTATAGCTGTACTCGAGAATAATTTGGAGGTTTTATTGTATTGATTTGTGGTCGTTCAGTTGTCCTGAATATGAATATTATATTTGCTTTAAAACAAGATGATCTGGACACATATTGACCATTATTAACTTATTATTTAAACAAAAAATATATAGTGTATCATACAATGTAAAGAAGAAACAATGTCATAAAGATAAGTGAAAAAGTTAACTCAAATAGAATAAGAATGTATAGAATCCTGTAATCTGGTCTAGAAAGTTATATTAACATTATTTCCAAAATTTGTAACTATAGATTGCAGAAATTCCACATCGGATCATAATTACGACGGACAGATAAACATCACCAGAAATGGACATACTTGTATACATTGGAATAAAGCCGTTAATTATCAGTCTCAACATGAGAATTACTGCAGGACACCTGCCGGAGATGCATATAATGATACTGGACCTTGGTGTTATTTTGATACGAAAGGAGGACGGGATAGTTGTAATGTACCTATATGTGACGGTAAGATAGTTTTCATAACTTTATTATCATTTTTTAAAGGAATGGTGATGCTCAAATGACAACAGGTAGATTTACAATATAGCCTCTCTTACATTCTGATATTACGAACCCAAAACTCCGAAAGGTTTTACCAAATACTGCTAAGGTAATCTATTCCTGGTGTAGAAAATCCTTAGTATTTCGAAAAAGTCAAAAAGTTTTATAAACAGTTAATTTATAATTTTGACCATATAAATGATGATTCATGTACATGTATGAGTTATCTCTCGATTTGTACTAGTATTCGAGTTTTCGTGTTTGTTTTTTGTGGTTTTTACTTTTTATCCTGTATTCATATCTCAGAAAGAAAATATTTATTCTTTAAGGTGCATCATGTCCAGATCTATCGCTTCGGTCCCATTTACAAACACAGGACAACAAGGATTCATACAGATATGGGGAAACCGTGAACCTTGCATGCGAAACTGGATACATATTAAATGGTTTAAGAAACCTATCATGTCAAGAAACTGGCAATTGGAGCAATACAATACCTACATGTGAAGGTAGGTAGCCATTTAAAATGGAATTTTGATTATCTACTGTGATTTAAATCTCAAACTTCAATATAGCACTAAGTTTGAAATCAATTTTCTGTCTATTGCTTAAATTGTACATGTAGATGAGTATTAGAAAGCAGGAATGTTGTAACATGTACCACTGATGTAACATGAAATTACTTCAAACGGTGGATGCTGGAACCAATCAAAAGATAAGTTTTGGGTACCCTGTAAATTTTTAGAAAAAGGAATATTGTACGATACTTTTACTAATCAGATTTTAAGTATAGATTACGGGTTTTCTTCACATTTATTCACGTCAAACATTCCGAAATCCTAGATATTAAAATACTAAGAATAACCAAAATATCTATGTGCAATCGATACTATAGGTATAGAACCACTAATTTGGGGCCGAATAGAAAAAACATACAAGAAAGTAGTGCATATTTTAAACAAACAGTTCATACGCATAGCTGTAACTTTGTCAATAAGTAAAATATTTGGGTAATTTGGGAATCAAAAGAAAGCTTAAAGACTTGTGATCAATTCGTAGCACGTGTTAAAAGTTTCTTTTGAATAATAAAAAAAAAAATATATAAAATTAAAATAGGAGGGCATATTTGCCCTGTTGCTCAGATCAGATTAACCTCTTTTGTACTACCAAACTTCCGGAAACATGCAGCGCGCTGTAATATGCAATTAAAATTATGTTGCCCAAGTCAGGATAAGGTAAAGTTTTGACATGAAATGACTGTCATTTTAGCAATAGGCCTAAACATTAGCAGTGTTATTCCTCTTTAATTTCGGGACGGACAGCTTAGTAAACAGAAATATTTGCTATCATACAAGTAATTATCGAAATATTAATTACTAATAGTAATAAATCAAAAAGTTCGATTGATACAAATATATAAAACAAAAACAAAATCAATAGCGAGAAAAGATACAAAGAAACCCTACGATATTTCTGTAAATATTTATCATAAGGACCGAGAACGTAATAGCGATGTCGCATAAAGATTTGCGGCGAAAATTATCTGTGGTTGTGTTAAAACAATCATCTACTAAGACCATCGATAAGCACCGCGAAAGAAATAAGTATGTCTCATTTGCAACTTGTTGCTAACATCTTTTTGATGGATACTCATGTACTATTAATCAGACTACATATTTACAATATGGACATATCTGTGGACAGCAAGGTTTGTTAAAAATATATGTTTAGGATTAAGCAAATATTTTGGCCCTTGGGAATCATCTCAAACATGTATAAAATTTTGACTGATCCCTGCTTAAAAAGTCTATAAGCATTCACGAGAAGAAATTTTTAAAGGCAGTGACACCACTGTACATTCTAAGGAACACAGCGTAGTTCTAAGGGAGCACATCATGACTCCTTAAACTATTGCTTCAAACAGAGCAGCATTGCTGCCGAACGAGTTAAACTGACGGTGGTGATGAGACAACAGAATTTCTTTGGGGAATAAATGAAATTTGGTTTATAGATCCAGACAATAAAATTTCATTAATGTCAATTAAATTTCATTAATGTCAATTAAATTTCATTGATGTCCAGTAGCTGAAAATAATTTCCTGATCATTGATATATTGAAGGCATGAGGTTTGGGATGGAGGCAGTTAACAAAAAGGAAAAGGTTCACAAAACAAAATGGCGTCCTTATTTCTCAAAAGAGTGTACCTCTTCTAGATAAGGAACAACCAATACGAGTCGCATATGCAAACACGAATATTTTACGATATATATACGCAGAAAACTCTATAATCTGCTTATTGGTTTATGTCTGGTAATTTCCCCTTCCCTTACACTTTTTTACGCTTAACGAAAGTTCGCTTGATAACTATGAAGGTCCTTTTGGGTCACAATGCAATTTTAAACAGGTTCGATAAAGCAACGTTTAGCTGTTGGTTCGTGTACACTAGAACAACGCGTAACAATTCGTTCACGTATCATAGTGCAAACACCTTACACTTTGTTCGCGTACGCTAAAACAACTAGAGCAAGCATTTTTTATTATCGTGTTCAGCGTAATCGTTGTTGGAATCAATATAATTCTTTACATAGTCAGATCTGTTTTTATTATGGGGTACATTTAATTTTTTCAAATGTTAAATTTTAACATGTGTCCATGTCACGGGGATTCTGTAAATCAAAGAGGGTTAGAAATATATTTAATTCATGGGTCATTATTCCTAATGGATTTATGAGATTTGAACATCGGTAGGCTGTTGTTGCCTATTTTTTGCACCGAATAATACTTTCTTTAAAATTTTATTTTCTCTGTTATTATTTCAGTTGTTACATGCCATGGTTTCTCAAATGAACCCCATCAAAACTGGCACCCGAGTAAACGACCATACATATATAATGACAATGTCACGTTCACATGTGATGAAGGATATGAATTGTCTTCATCTACAAATATTACATGTCAGTCTGATGGAACATGGAGTGACATTCAACCAAATTGTACAGGTAAGCCTTTATTCGTATAAATATTGTCTTTTATATATATATGATCCGGAACATATGAGGATTTGGACCGTACGCCTATGGTCATGACCATACCCGTATACCTTATGGTCGGACCATATGAATATTTTGACCATATAGGTATTTTTTTTTGAATATGCAAACCAAACTTCAACCAATATCGTTCGCTAATTATCCTACTTGTGTGCTTTTTGTTTAGCAAGTAAGATACAATACAAGTAAGTTTAGTAAATGAGATAAAAAAATAACTTAAAAGGATATATGATGCTATGGCAGCAAGTAAAAAATTTGCTCTGAAATTTCACATTTTGTCTGAATCTGGGTTCATCTGTTTTCTTGCCTTCGATAGTCGCTAGTGTTAATTAAAAGCGTCACCTTTTGGTTAACATTTGAATTAAATATTTCTTGAAGTTCTCTTCTAAGGTCATTCGTCAGGACAAATTGATAACAACCATAGATAAATGTGTTCAGTATACTTTTAACTTGTGAATTGAATTCACTGGGTTATTCATCGTCCCTTTATTTAATTAATCATATAAATTACGATCACCGTTATACTATCATAGCAAAGCTATGGTTAAAAAATCCCTTAAAATTGAATATTTATAAATTCTTCAAAACTCTACATTTTTATGAACTCTTTTTTTTTAAATGTCAAATCGAAGGGTCACACATAAAGTTTATATTACAGTATAAAACGTTAAACAAATGATTTCTACAGTAAGAATTGTAGTAAGTTTTACTACATACCGCGTCTGGTCCAAATACTCATATGGTCCGGAACATATACACTATTTCATTATTTAGATATATAATTTGCTTGTCCGAAGTGACTTATCTCGCAATCTCAATATGTATATTTTTCTTTCTTTCAGTACGTTTCTTTCCGTACAATGTGCATAATTTAATTAGAAATTAAAAAAAATTTGAGGGTCAACATATTCATCATTTTGCCTAGCATTTTTACTAATTTCTCCATCAATCTAGAACGGTTGTAAAAATATAACATCTCATAATCGAAAATAGTAATATGTGTATTTTTATTCTACAATTCAATTCAAATAACAAATAAATAAATAGATATCTTTCTTTTTTCTCTGTCTGTACGAGGTCCGTCAAATTCATACAACTTATGTTGTACATTTCTATCTTTGTGTTGTCATTTAATAGAAACCTTGTCTAATCACAAGATATTTCTTTCGGGACAAAATCACTTGGCTTGAAGTTGAGTCTGGATAGCTGCATGGAATGCCTTATAGCAATTTGTACAATGAAAAAAGCTTTAAAACGAAGAAATGATCGACTGGCTAGATAAAAACATAAAATTGTGACTACTTTATGGGTGACAATTTGATCCGAGTTATTCAAAATAAAGTTGACATTTACAATATAAAAAAGAAGATGCATTAGACAATTACCAACAAAAGTTTATCTAGCTATTTGTTATGCTTAATGTATCACTGCCTGTAACTGAGTACAGCAGAAGTTGATTTTTCCCCGATTTCAGTACTGCTTTTCTCCGATTGATTACGGATTTCCCCTAATTTCCGTTGAAGAGAACACCAAAAGGGTAATTATATATGAATTAAAGAGTGTGTCAATAATTATTCAACCTTCCTTTTCCTTTATACATGTTGATTATGACCGTCCATGCGCACTACAGATTGTGATGACCAATCCTTTAAATGGATGTCTTTTTTGAAGCATGCAAGACATGTTAAGTGATTTTTGCTATTATGTAACTGTCCTAAATGTTATTATTCGAATTGAAAATACATATTTAGAAAAGTGCAATTATAATTGATTTAGATCTGAAAATACTTTTTTATTGAGATGAAAGAAAACAAGTAAAAAGTTAGGATTTCAATTCATGATTCAGTGTACTGATTATCAAAGATCTGTGTACAGATTGTCCCAGAGAAGTTGAAGTTAATTACCGATTTTCCCCGATTTGCTTTATAGTATTAGTTATATATTTGTCGTAAATTAGTACTTTACAAAAGGAAAATGTTTGCCCTTTTAAGTGCATATAATTCCTTATAAAAAAGAAGATGTGGTATGATTGCCAATGAGACAACTCTCCACAAGACAAGAGACCAAATGACACAGAAAATAATAACTATAGGTCACTTAGTCTGTTCTGTGAAAGGTTTTTGTATGAAACATTAAATTAAAGCTTGTTTGAGCAATCTTGGCATATAAATACCCTTTTCACAAAGTTTTTTTCATTGCAAAATCTTTTGGTGGCAAAGCTCAACTTTTCCAAATTGAATCTGACCCTGTTAGCTTTTTACTATCTCCCTCAAATTGGCAGGTGGTCAGGTATTCTATTTTCTAAAGATGAAAATTAAGCTTTATGCACATGTGGCACATTGGCTTCACAAATGTTTGGACCAGTGCTTTTCTGATTATGGTAAATCCAGAAAAGTGCTTTGAACGCATGAAATTCACAAAGTGTTCATTTTATTTGCACTTTGTCGAGTGAGATCGAAATAAAATTACTTAAAGATGAGACAATTAAAATCCACTAAACGCATAAAAACAATCAAAATTTAGAGGCATTATTGAAATAGAGACTTGTTTCCTTTTTTTTTTCATTCACAAATGATTCTGCAAAATGTCCATAAAATACAATTTTTATAAAATATGAAGAATAATGGGTTGCAGTCAAATTAAATTGCAACCAAGAATATTCTTTGAATTTTCTTTACATTCTGTTATTTTTTAATAGCACATGCTCATGTATATAAAGAAATTTGGCAAATAGTCCTGGTAATAGCATTTTTTTCTTCAAAAAGATCAGCAGTTTCAAGATCGGGGATCATCTGTATTGGTATCGGGGAAAATCTGTACTCAGCACAAGGTGGCCGGGGACGATTTGTACACCAAGGTTCAGTTTTATTGCAAGATATTTGTTCATTTAATTGCTTTTTGTGCATATTTCTACATGCATTTGTCAGATATTCATATTTGAAAAAAAAATATTTTCAATATAAACTCTTTTTTATACTGAGGGTTAAGTTAAAGCAGGATCAAACTGAAAAACAAATGTTGACTCAAATCAGCAACTTCAGCATCAAAACAAAGAATAAGGATGGTCATGATGTAACTTCAAGGCAATACCACCTCAGGACATCACTTACTAATGACTTCTGACCAGACAGAATAACTTAACTTTATCAAATTAATTATTTCAAGCTACTTAAATCAAATATCAGAACTAATGTGCATATATGATAATATGATATAATAATATCTACATCGGATCGCATGAATATTAGATGGTAAACTTGCTTATAGAGATCACGAAAACTAATTTAAATAAAACATTTTTAATAAAAATGTCAATGTAAAAATGTACATGTATGAGTGTTCAGGTCAGAAAAATTAACTACTTTTGAGCACCTACGATATTTTGATTAAAACTGCTTTTACCTTTTTGAGGACATTTCACTTGCTAATATTCATGTACCAAACGTACTGTCTTTTTGTAATATTTATAATAGATGATTTAATTGATTTTACGTGTTGTCACATTTAAAGTCGGAGAGAAAATTAAAGCAAGTACGTTTCATGTTTATAACTATGTCTGATTAAAACCGACTTTAGTGTTTGTACAGTGCATTTGATATCCATAGAATTAAAATGCTAATTACTGTTATAATAATTTAAAAGTATTGGTTATTGTTAAAAAAGTAAAATTACAAAAATACTGAACTCCAAGGAAAATTCAAAACGGAAAGTCCCTTATCAAATGGCTCAAACACATCAAACGAATGGAAAACAACTGTCATATTCGTGACTTGGTACATGCATTTCCTTATGTAAAAAATGGTGGATTAAACCCGGTTTTATAGCTAGCTAAACCTCTCACTTGTATGACAGTCGCATAAAATTCCATTATATTGACAACAATGTGAAAACAAAACAAACAGACATAATAGGTAAAAATGTCAAAAATAGGGGTACAGTTAGAATAATTTTCTTCATGCAAGAATTCATTATAAGTTAACCATACACTCAACTTTCTACCTTTAAGTTTTTTTTGTACTGTGTCTATTATTTTTTTTTTTTTTTTTTTTTTTTTTTTAAATTTTAAACATATTTTATTAATAATCACCTGTTACATCAACCCTTAGTTGCCCAGGGAAGCAACAATGGGGTCCCCGATTTTTACAGGCTCATTTGTCGGGGAAAAAGCAAATGAGAAAAAAAAACTCACATTATTAATAATTAACCTCTATCTTTATAAATATCATCTATCTTTGTACAAATGTACATGTAGTATAATCTATCTATACATTTTTAATATCACACCAAATATAATCGCTTGAATAAAGTATTCATTCTATCGGTTTTTTTTTTCTCTCAAAAGAGCTACCTGTATTTATTAGGCAGTTTCAATAAATACTGTGTCTATTTTGTTGACATTTGATAGAGTAAAAAATATAAAACTTAAATCAATCTCGTAAGGATTTTAAATGTTTGGAATGAAATCGGCAAAGTGGTTAACAGCTCTTATAATATTCAAGTTTTGAACTAATTTCGTTTTTCAATTTTCTAAAAAGGGACCAATCATTTCCTCCTAGAGGTATTATATGGTTTCAATTTTGTGCGTGTCACATACTCTTTAAAAGTAACGGATTTAAAAAATATCTCTGATAAGAGATGCAAGCATTCACTGTTTTTTTTTAACTGACAGAAAATAGGAACATATGAAGATAAGACTGATGTCTTTTTCTTTAATCTTTGAGAACTTTTTGTATAATATCTGCTTCATATGAATAAAGCAAAGTTGGCCAGTAGGGTTGTACTATAAGTACCCATTGAAAAAACATACTGTTTGTTCTATTTGTTTAAGGCCAGTAATCAATCTGCCAAAAAGCCCAGTAAAGGCGTATAACATATCTATTGGTTTATTTAAACTTTTTTTTGAAATGTGAACTTAGCTTTTCGTGCCGTTAATTTATCGCTTTTCGGATTTCTTGTGCATAACATTAATGTAAAATGACATGTATCTTACTCATCAATACTGTTCTTTTTGTCATTGTTGGTTATATAAACTCTTCAACATTTGTAATATAATTTAGGTGTGCAGTATACCTTGTCTAAATACGCAACTGGTGCTGTAGAAATGGTACCATTTTATGCTATTAACGCAATTGTGGAAGATAATCCTCAAAATAACCGGAAGGAAAAGTATGCAATCCATTTTCTTGATTTTTAAAAACTATTTCCCTTCTTAAGATTTTAATCAAATTTCTTTCAAAGATACACATTCCTCAAACACCGATTGACACAACTTTATTCATAATCTTGAGGGGAAAATAAGATACTGTATGGATAATCCATTTTGAGCCGAATGAGGTTGACTCGACCTTGTCTATTTTTTCAGACGGTGTCATTCTAATGTTCAGTTGATAATTTTTTTATATATCCAACTTACTCTTCAATGTTATGAATTGTAAAAAACTGTTTAATTTGTTTTCTAGCTTTGTTGATGATTTAAATTGCTCAAACACAGTAGTTGAATAGTTCATAAGGGTATAGGCTGTGTAACGCAATATTTGAATAATAATAATAATAATAACGTAACGTAATGCTCTTTTCAATGTTACCTAAATGATTTTTTTCAATATTTTCCATAAAAATATCCTTAGATGTTGATTATTAACCGTTTATTTGTTCTCCTTACACAGATTGCCTTTCCAAACGACGCTTCATAACTGACCTGCCACGCTTCTTAACGCAAATCAGATTCATGTTAAAAAAAACTTACCAAAGATACTAGGCTTATATTTGTCTGCACCAGACGCGCGTTTCGTGTACAAAATGCTCATATGTAAATCATAAATAAAAAGGCCAAATAAAGTACGAAGTTGAAGGACCCAAAATTTCGAAAGGTTTTGCCAAAAACTGATAAGGTAATCTATTTATAGGGTAGAACGTATTTAGTATTTCAAACAATATAAAGTTTTGTAATGACGACTACTGGGTTGGTGATACCCTCGAGGAAGAAGCTTCCACCAGCAGGGGCATCGATCCAGTGGTTGTAAAAAAACTGAGATACCCGGCGTATAATTTTGTACGCCAGACGGGCGTTTAATCTATAAAAGACTCTGAGGAAATTAAGTAAGTTTAATATCTCCCGTTATTTTCCTCTAACAGTAGTTGACATATCTTCTTGAGTAGTGTTGTAAGTAAGAGATTTCGTCAAAATAGAATATCCGAAGAAATTTGCGATAATAACAGCATATCTCGGTGTATAACCCTGTTTTGCTGAGCACAAGAAAAAGAGAGAACGGCATTTAAATTAAGATGATAGAACTGTGGTATGTCAGATAACTAACAAATGTATTGGAAGTCATTTGGTCGTTTTATTGAGAGATTGTGTGGGAGTGTAGTGTATAGAGTTGAAAAGTCATACTGTCAACTGATTTAAGAGGACAAATAAAAGCAAGTAATTTATCTTAAACATCCGATGAATGTTTTAGAAGAAACACCGACATAGCTAGATAATACTATTAATTATCTAATTACTACTACATTTTATATTAATTAGTATTGTAATTTTCATTGTTATTAATAAATGTTATATGAGTATTTTAAACCAAATCTTGAATTCTATCCTAATTCCATCCTATTTTGGGGAAATTTCAGAAATTCAAATGTGACGTCACTTTTTTATTTGGCTAACTCGGCTGTGAATTTTTATGTGCTGGTTTATGTTGTTTTATGTATCCGTTTTTATTCTGTAGTTAGTCACCACTTCGGTGTTATCATGTATATTTATTATATAGTCATTTGTATAAATTTACTGTTTGCAAAAGTATGAATTATTCTAAATACTAAGGATTTTCTTATCCTAGATATATAACCTTAGCCGTATTTGGCACAACTTTTTGGAACTTTTGGTCCTCAATGCTCTTCAGCTTTGTACTTGTTGTGGCTTTCGAATTTTTTTGATCTGAGCGTCACTGGTTGGTCTTGTGTGGACGAAACGCGCGTCTTAAATTTTAAACCTGGTACCTTTTGTTAGCTATTATTCGTATGTTTCTCTGTCCTATATGTTCTCCCATTTATTTGTATTGTAGTCCTGTCATGTAATGTTGTCATTTTAATGTTATATTTAACATTGCCATAAAAGCGGGAAGTTTGGCTAGCCACAAACCCAGTTTCAACCCACCATTTTTTTCTTAAAATGTCCTGTACCAAGTCAGGAAAATGGCCATTGTTATATTATAGTTCGTTTCTGTGTGTGTTACATTTTAATGTTGTGTTTCTGTTGTGTCGTAGTTCTCTTATATTTGATGTGTTTCCCTCAGATTTAGTTTGTAACCCGGATTTGTTTTTTTCTCAATAGATTTATGAATTTCGAACAGCGGTGTACTACTGTTGCCTTTATTTACACTTCAAAAATAGTCAATTTCACTATTTTCATATGTTTTATTACAAAAGTTAATGACAAGTTCTTTGAAATTAATTAAGGAATTAGTTAAAAACACTGAAAGATTAATTGTAGATACTTACTACAGGCCGAGATGAAACGATATATTACGGTTTGTTTTGTGTAGTTAATTTTACAATACAGAGTCGAGAACTTCAAATGTTCAACAGAGGCCTTAAGCTGAGATGTGGTAATGATATGATTGTTTTCTGTTTGACTGTCTGTGGTACGCAAGCACCTGAATGTAGAAGAATTTATAATTTTATTCTTAAAACCCTCCGTGTAGTATTTACGTCATACAACCAGCACCACATTGTTGGCTGATTTTCGCCGGTACGAACACAAACTGCTTTGCGAGGACTTGAAGTTTGTGTTTTTTTATTCTAGAAAAAGGCGTGTTATGAATCTTTGATTTTGTTCTAAATTATTTTCAAAATGTAATATTCGAATATCCTAACGCTTAATCGGCAGCAGTAAAATGCACAGTACTAATCAATCAATAAGTTTATTTGTTAATCAATCAATTAATAAATTTATTGATTATCAATTAATAAAAAGATTAATCAATAAATTAATCGTATTGTAATTATCATACAAATTATGTTTCTGGAATGCTGTATTGTGACTACTTGAAAGCCTTAGGTTCGCCTTTACACCTAAGTTTTGAGGTTAACTATAGAAAGGAATTAAACTTGTAACATAAAAGTACACTATTATTTGTTATTATTTGCTAACGCAATACACTTTAACACAATGTCAAAAAATATTTGTTGGTCCCATTAGAAAGATCTTGTGCATGTTCTCAAAGACGAAATTAATTAAGACAAATGAAAGACTAGGGAAAAATTTGTTCTGATGGCTTTCTTGGCAGGGTAAAATAAATTATCTGGTATCTTTCTAAGGTGTGTTGTGTAGTTCCATTCCTCACATTGAATTTATGCTACCTCAAAACCCTAAGGAATACAATTTCCCGTCATCAGTGAACATCTCCTGTAAAGAGGGGTACCAGATAAAAGGCCCTACGATGCTTCAATGTCAAACAAATGGAAATTGGAGTTCTCCACCAATATGCACAGGTAAGGACTCAAATTGTAGACGAAGAGGACAAATACTGACTGTGCAATCAAACACATAAGTCGAAGATAAAAAGAACGATAGAAAGAAAAGAACAAACATTGCACGAAACACTACACACAAATTATTTTACTTAGAATAACCAAAAGGCATCTCGATTACGGCGTATCTGATATGGTCGGTATATCGTGTTTTTTTTACCCTTTGTGAAGATATACAGAAATTGCCGTTCCTAATTTTTACACCTTCCTTTCTGATGAGTCTTAAGTAGACGCAACGTAGATATAGCGTACCAAATCAATACTTTGCAACTTTTATAAGGCTTGGTTTGATACTCAATACTGATTGTCACAGATGATCATGATGCATGCATACCAGGAATCTACCATCGCGACGCATCTCAACAAACATGTTAGACGATAATATTTCTTTCTTGTGGGGTGAAACACATCCGTTTTGTGGATTTGTTAGGAGCTATATAATATGAATAGAAAAGATTTTGAAAATAAACAAATAAATTACCAGATAAATCGCGTTGAATGTAAATTCTATAAAAAACTAACTTGAAAAATGTATGTAGTTTAGATATATGAGATGTTTGATGAACTAACATGCATAATGAAAACATACGTTTCAAAAATAGTAGGTGTAAAACTTTGTAGTGCATTTGCATGAGTAACGTTTTTTCTTTGAGTTATTTTATTTGGTTAAAAAGTTAGAAAGAAGATCCTTGGTCTTTCTCTTACGAAATATAAAAAAAATAAATAAAATCAAAACAAGACGAGACCAATAAAACACGCTTACTATTGGTCTTTACTTGATAAAAAGGTACAAACAATATGTCCATTTAATTCTCTTAGTATTTGAACAAAGGGAAGTTTGAGTCACGCCATTAAACACCAATCCCACAACACAGACAAACAAATAAAAGGCATCTACCGTTTGAAATACTCTTTCAACAATAGACAAGTGAATATATCATAAGTCTAAACGAGCAAAGAAATGTTTTACAACCTACAGAGAATATTTAATTAGTTTTATCTCAAATAATATCGATAAAAAATGCAAAAGTTTTGTTGACTGTCTTTTTAAATGAAACTTCCGAATTTTTTTCTGTGAAAAGATTTTGATTTCATTCTGATTACTAGGACTTTCAACTTTCCGTTTAAAGACCTTTTCAGTTTTTTCTGATTAAATATTTTTTCTATCGTACATTGTTTTTCTTGTTAGCGCTTCTCCTTTGAGAGCCGTTACACATTTCTACCATTTGACATTAATGATAAAAAAGTGAAGCTTGATCATAAACTGTAAGTGATAGTGACATAGAGTCTTTAGATTTGAGGTCAAGGTCAAAGGTCAATGTCACTTTCTGAATTCTGCTTTTTATAATTATTTCTCAGAAACCATAAGAGGTAAAACAAAAGATTATTGGTAACACATGTCGCAACCTAAATACATTTGGGTTGAAGTACTTTAGAGAGTTTTTTCCTCTTAAATATTTTGAATAATCTGTTGGCAGTATACTTCAGTAAAATTACATAATAGGGCATTTTGATTTGAGATCGTAGATATTGATCTTTGCTATAACTTAATATTGGCATATTTTTATTCTTATATCTATATATGATAAATCATAAGATATTTTGCATTGGCTTGGGAAACATACTTCATAAAGGTTAAAGCTGTGTAACACAATATTTGCAAAACCTCTTTTTCTCACGGACCTATGTAGCTTAGTGCTCTTTTCAATGTAACATCAATTAATTTCGCCAATATTTAGCATCAAAAACTCTTAGTTGTTAATTATTAACAGTTTATTCGTTCTCCTTACACAGATTGCCTTTCTAAACGACGCCTCGTAACTGACCTGTAATGCGTCCTAACGCAAATTAGATTGATGTGAACAAAAACCTTATCATAGATATCAGGCTTATAATTTTGTACGCCTGATGCGCATTTCATATATAAATGACTTATGACACATATGAAGAATTTAAAAAGGTTTGATATCTTCCGTTATTTTCCTCTAATAGTAGTTGACATATCTTATGGAGTAGTGTTGTAAGTAAGAGATTTCGTCAAAATACAATTTCCGAAAATTGCGATAATAACAATATATATCGGTGTATAACCTGTTTAGCTGACCACCAGAAAAAAAAGAAAGGCTTTTAATCTAAGGGGGTAGACCTAGGGTATTTCAGATAACTAACAAATGTATTAAAAGTCATTTTGGCGTTTTATTGAGTTATCTGATAAGAGTGTGTAGATGTGTAGTGTAAAGAGTTGAAAAGTCAAAACTGTCAACCGATTAAAAAGGATAAACAAAAGCACGTAATTTATCTAAAACATCCGATAAATTTTTTACACTCCAAAAATATTAATACCACTAATTTAATATGCTTTATTACAAAAGTTAATGACAAGTTCTTAGATAGTAGCTAAGAAACAAGTTAAAAACACTGAAAAATTAATCGTAGAATACTAGTGCAGAAAAATTGGTACCGTTTATGTTATTACTAGAAGCCAAGAGGAAACGATATTTTACGTTTGATTTGGTGTAGTTTAGGTAACCAATACAGAGTAGTTTAGACCTTTACTGTAAACAAATGCACGTTACTTTTATCTTTTGAATGGAAGCACGTGTTTTTAGCCCTGACATCGATTTTAGAATATAAAAAAGGTAAATAGCAGTAACTTAAGAAATCTAGAAAAAGCAACAAGTTTGAAAACAAAAGATGTCTTTCGTATGCCACAAGTGCGGAATTTCGTAAAGATAAATCGGCAACTGTAAAATTTGCCGGAACGACGTTAAGTCCACACAACGATATCAACGCATAACTAAACATTCACAACATACCCGTACTATTTTGGGTTACGAATGCCTACCCCATAAATAATAAATAAACAAAAATTATAAATAAATAAACAAAACATAAATAAATAAATCGATGTATTAATAAGTAAATAAATGATGTGATTTTAAATTAATTAATTAATTAAATAATTTATCAACTAATAAATTAATTAATCGATTGATAAATTAATTTGTTAATCAACCAATTGATTAATTAATTGATAATAAACCAATTGATTAATTGATTAAAAATTAAAAATCAATTAATACATACATTAATTAATAAATTTTAAAATTAGTAGATTTATCGTATTGTAATTATTATACAAATTGTTTTGGGAATGTTTTATTGTGACTACGTCGAAGCCTTAGTTTGGCCTTTACACCTAGGTTTTGAGGTTAACAATAGCCAGGAATAAAACTTTCAACATACAAGTACACTATTATTTGTTATTATTTTCTTACACAATACACGTAAACACATTGGTCAAAATATTTTTCGATCCCATTAAAAAGATCTTGTGCATATTCTCGAAGACAAATGTACGACTAGGGACTGAAATTAATTCTGATGACTTTCTTGGTAGAGTAAACTAAACTATCTGATATTTTTCTAAGGTGTGTTGTGTAGTTCCATTCCTCACATTGAATTTATGCTTCCTCAAAACTCTAAAGAATACAGTTTCCCGTCGTCAGTTAACATCTCATGTAAAGAGGGGTACCAGATAAAAGGCCCTACGATGCTTCAATGTCAAACAAATGGAAATTGGAGTTCTCCACCAATATGCACAGGTAAGGACTCGAATCGTTGATAAAGAGGACAAAATACTAACTTTGCAATCAAAACCAGAAATCAAAGATTAAAAGAACGGTCGAAAGAAAAAGAACTAAAAATGAACAAACATTCCACGAAGCACTACACATATTATGTTACTAAAAATTACGAAAATATATCTCGACTACGGCGTTTTTGATATGGTCGGTATATCGTTTTTTCCCTTTTGTGAAGAATTAAAGAAATTTCCGTTCCTAATGTTTACACCTTCCCGACTGACGAGTCTTAAGTAGACACAACGTGCATCTAGTGTACCAAATCATTACTTTTGCAACTTTGATAAGGCTTGGTTTGTTACTCAATACTGATTGTCACAGATGATCATGATGCATGCATATCTACTACCGCGACTCATCTAATATGTTAGACGAAAATATTTCTTTTTTGTGGGGTAAAACACGTCCGTTTTGTGTTTTTTTAGGAGCTATATAATATATATACTGTTAACCTGGAAATTTTCGCGCCGTCTTTTTTTTCACGATTTACCAACAAGATCTAAATTCGTGCCGTTTTGAATTCGCGATGTCCCGGTGTCTTTTACCAGTTTTTTCATAAATGATTTGGAAACTTTGCAGTTTTAATACATACATTTAAATCAAGTGATAAAACAAATCAGAAATTCTATTTGTCGGTTCAGATTCAAAATTATTAGTCATGTTTGCTTGTAAAACACATTTAAACTAAACAGAGAGGAATGACCTGATTAAGAGTGAATTAAATGATGACAGGATAACTGCTAATTAATTAATCTTTTAATCCGATTGATCTGTGTAGCAGATACAACCAGGTAATCATGTTAGAAGAGATGCACAGGTGTCATTTACATTAACGATAGTTGTTTATTTAGCAATATCCGTAATGTCCAATTGCTTGAGATGTCTCCCATGTTAATAAGACTATCATGAGTTTTTAAGTTTTAATTTTGAACATTGACTTTCATTTAGTAATAAAGTTACGTCTTGCGGTATAGGTTTGTCGTCAGTAAAACGATGTTTTAAATTGGTCATCTACATATCCTATTGATATACGATCATGTGTGGTCTTCATCTACGTGGTCGGTTTTCTTTGAAAAATTCGCGGTCGTTTTATTTTCGCGTTTCAACTCTTACCGCAACAATAGCGAAAACAAAACTGCCGCATAAATTTCCCTGTTTACAGAAGAAATATTTTGAAAATAGATAAATAAACTACCAGACAAAAGAGCGTTGAATGTAAATTCTATAAAAAAAAACAACTTGATTAAATATGTGAGACGTTTGATGAACTAGCATGCATAATAAAAACATACGTTTTCAAACATAGAAGGTGTAAAACATCGTAGTGAATTTGCATAAGAAAAGCTCATTGTTACCTTTTTCTCTTTGAATTACTTTATTTTGTTAAGAAGTTAGAAAAAACACCCTTGGTCTTTCTTTTAAAAAATATAATAAAAAATAAAATCAAAACGAGTTAAGACGAAAAAATAACATGCTAACTATGGGTCGTTACTCGATAAAAAGGAACATACTTTAACAATATGTCCATTTAATTCTCTTAGTATTTGAACAAAGGAAAATTTGGGTCACGCCATTAAACACCAATCCCACAACACAGACAAACAAATAAAAGGCATCTACCGTTTGAAATACGTCTTTAAACAATAGACAAGTGAATATATCATAAGTCTAAACGAGCAAAGAAATGTTTTACAACCTACAGAGAATTTTTAATTAGTTTTATCTCAAATAATATCGATAAAAAATCTGTCTTTTTAAATGAAGCTTTGCGAAAACTTTTTATGTGAAAAGAACTTTTGATTTCGTTCTGATAACTTGGACTTTCAAATTTCCGTTTGAAGACCTTTTCAGTTTGTTCTGATTAAAAATATTTTCTATTGCACATTGTTTGTTTTGTTAGCGCTTTTCCTTTCAGAGCCGTTACAAATTCCTATTATTTGACATTTGTGATAAAAAAGTGAAGCTCGTTCATAAACTGTAAGTGATAGTGACATCGGGTCTTCAGATTTGACGTTAAGGTCAAAGTTCTAAGTAACTTGTTGAATTCTGGTTGTTGTAATTACTTCTCAGAAACCATAAGAGTTATTACCATAAAATTATTGATAACGACATGTCGCACCTAAATACATTTTAGTTGAAGTACTTTGGTGAGTTTTCTCTTCTTATTTATTTTGAATAATCTGTTGGAAATATAACTCAGTAGCAATACATAATAGGGTATTTTGATTTGAGATTCATGACCTATGACCTAAAATATGAGGTAATGGTCGAAGATTAAATTGTTTTTGTAGATTTTGACCTTTGCGATGACTTCATACTGGCATATGCTTAATCATAAAGTCTTTTGCATTGGCTTGGGAAACATTTGAACATGAAAAATGGTAACAATATGTGAACTGGTGGTTTTGCACTTAATTTAGTTTAGTGAGTACCTGGAAATCTGGTTTCAAAGTAAGTTACATATCGAATTAAACCGGAAGCGTCATTTTGAAATATTTATGATATAACCTATCAAATAAAACTGGCGTTGACTTAATCAACCTGAAATTGCTCACTATCTCCCTTATTTCAAGAAAAAAGTACCTAAATCTCTGTATCTTTGAATCAGTGTGCAATAAACACGAATCATCTTTTAACAATGAAACTGACTTTTTAAACCGGAAACTACTGTAGATTCATTTATTTTTCATGGATACCAATTTTTATGGATTGAAGAAAAATTGCATTTTCGTGGAAATTGAATTTCATGGTTTGGTTAAAATCTCTATACAAGCCTATGCAAAATCTGTACTTAGTTGAACATCAAATTTCGTGGTTTACGTTTTCCAACGAAATCCACGAAAATTGGTACCCCACGAATAATAATGAATCCACAGTATAACTTTAATTGTCATTTCTCTGAATCAAATTTATACAAACATACTGTTCCGCCAAAATATAGTTAAGCTAAGATGTGTGAGCGGTTCCTTTCACAGAGCTTTAAATGCATAAAGTAGATGCAAACGACAAACAAGGAGTTCTGGCTTTTCTCGAGATGATCTTTTTAACACGCGACCAGCTAATTGTGTTTTTTAGGTTAAATACTTGAAAGTAGTTTTAAATAGTAAAAATACTTAAAATCGTAAAAAACTATCATTGAGATATTACATCTTAAGCAATATATTTATAATAATGATTAGTTTTTCATACAAAGTAATCGATCCGTTCATTTTCAAAGTTTAGAAGTCATCGATAACATCTACTATTTTCATTTTGGCGACGTGATTACTCAGAACGTAGCAAATTAAATATTTTGTTCTGTATGATATAAATAACAAAAGTCTACTAATATAAGATCTGCTGCAAAATTGAATTAATGCAATTGTGTTTTTTTGTTGTTGAGAGATTTTTAAACATCGGCTTGAAATAAAAAAAAAAAAAAAAAAAAAAAACGCTAAAAAATTTTAAATTTAATTCTAAAAGATTTATTTAAAATTTTGTTCGAATTTTTTTCACACAATTTTGCTGCTGGATAACCATTTTTGTCACATTTACTTATTACGTGTGTTTGGGTTACTCACCAAATTTCGTCAATATAAATAACTGTCATAATACAAGTTGGGGGTTTAGCTAGCTATAAAATCGCTTTTCTTCGGGAAAATGTGTGAACCAAGTAAGGAATATGACAGTTATTTTTCACCCGTTCCGTTGATTGATAACGTTTGATTTTGTCAGTTTTCATGGACTTCCCCTTTTTGAATTTACCTTGGAGTTTGATATTTTTGTTATACTTTTTCACACTGTCTACCTATATTTATCGTGGTCCAGACATAGCGGTGTCTATCTATCTCGATTATATTTTGTTTTTATGAAACACGTTTTTCACTTTGTACGCTTGTGCATTTATCAGGTTAATCTAGAGTTATGTGAATATGGTGCAGGATTTCAAGTGAGTTTTTGTCGAACCAAAAAATTCATTTTCTTGATAAAAAATAAACTATTGTGAAAAAAAACTTTGCACCGAAACAGACTTCATTCGTATTTGCTATACACAATGTACTATATTCTTGAACAAAAAGTGGGCAACCATTTTTTTTGTGAAACTCGTAGATACTGCCTCTAATAAGTACTGATTGATTCTAATGACTTTCTTAGCGGGGTAGATTATATTATCTGATATCTGTTTAAGGTGTGTTGTGTAATTCCATTCCTGACATTGAATATATGCTACCTAAAACTTCAAATAAATACAGTTTCCCGTCATCAGTGAACATCTCATGTAAAGAGGGATATCAGATAAAAGGCCCAACGACGCTTCAATGTCAAACAAATGGAAATTGGAGTTCTCCACCATTATGCACAGGTAAGAAATCAAATCGTTGAGAGAGAGCTCAAAACCATTAGTCAAAGATATACAAACAACACAATGGCCGAAAGAAAAATAAGAAAAATGAACAAAAAATCCATGAAACACTACACATGACACGGGTTATGTTCTTCTCATAAATGTTATGATGGTATGATACTAAACCCCTAACGGGAAGGATTGTGCCTGATATTCATATGATGAAGACATAATCTTTCAATCAGTTTAATTGAAGTCTGCAGCTGGCATGTCAGTTAACTGCTAGTAGTCTGTTGTTATTTATGTATTATTGTCATTTTGTTTATTTTCTTTGGTTACATCTTCTGACATCAGACTCGGACTTCTCTTGAACTGAATTTTAATGTGCGTATTGTTATGCGTTTACTTTTCTACATTGGCTAGAGGTATAGGGGGAGGGTTGAGATCTCATAAACATGTTTAACCCCGCCGCATTTTTGCGCCTGTCCCAAGTCAGGAGCCTCTAGCCTTTGTTAGTCTTGTATTATTTTTAATTTTAGTTTCTTGTGTACAATTTGGAGTATAGTATGGCGTTCATTATCACTGAACTAGTATATATATTTGTTTAGGGGCCAGCTGAAGCCCGCCTCCGGGTGCGGGAATTTCTCGCTGCATTGAAGACCTGTTGGTGACCTTCTGCTGTTGTCTGTTCTATGGTCGGGTTGTTGTCTCTTTGACACATTCCCCATTTCCATTCTCAATTTTACATAATAAAACTAAATATTTATCAACATGAATCCATCAATAACCCGCAGAAGAGGATATATTCCGTTTGATTTCGTTCTGATTACTTGGATTTGCAATTGTCCTTGGAAAAACCTTTTGATTTTGTACTGATGATAAATGTTTTCTTCCACAACATGTTGATTTTTTGTTGTTTGGCAAGATGCAATATATTTTTTGACACATGATATCGAACAGTTATTATTTGTAGTTGACTTCTTTAAAGCCGCAAATTATATCAACAAATTTGTTTTACCAATTGCTCGCAATATGCTCGATACGTCGCAATCTAAATACATATGTCGAAGTGCTTTGATGAATTTGCCTCCCCTCAAATATTTTTAAATTAGCGGTTTAGCAGTATAACTCAATAACAATACGTAATCGAGACAAATGGTCTTTAAATTTAAAGTTCTTGCTCGATGAAAGGAAATTGAGGTCAAGAATAAGGTCAGAATCACATTCTAATTTTTAAGATTGCCTGATATCGCTACATCTCAGAAACCTTTTGAGTGATTAACAAATAATTTTTAAATCATGAATAATTCAAGGTTATTCCTCCTTACGGCAAAGTTTATTTTTTGCCTATTAATTTTTATGCTCTAAAGAGCATATGTATATATTTGGCCTTTAAGAATTGAAGTAATGATCATATTCAGTGAACAATCTCCAAAAACACATGTCGTGCGCACGAAATCGATACTATACGTTTTTATTATGCTACTATAGACAAGCGAGGTCATCTATGCACATTTACACTTGACAACATATGTCAACAATGTTTTTAGTATTGCCTATACAATATGTTTGCAAACCATTATTTATAATAAGAAAATGAAAGAAAAATTTTTAAAGATAAAGTAATGTTCATAACGTACAGATATATTTGGATTACATACAAAAAAAGAGAAGAGAACAAAGCCGTATACATATTAACATGAGAATTTGGAAACAAAAACATGACCTTTAAAACTTCAGATACAGCTAAGGTAATCTATTCCTAGGGAAGAAAATCTTTAGTATTTCGAAAAATCAAAGTTTTGTAAACAGTTAAATAAACTCATCATAGATACCAGGATTGAAATGGTGTACGCCAGACACGCGTTTTGTCTACAAAAGACTAATCATTGAAGCTCGGATAAAAAAGGTAAAAAGGTAAAAAAAAAACACGAAGCTGAAGAGCATTGAGGACCCAAAATTCCTAAAAGTTTTGCCAAATACAGATAGGTAATCTATTCAAGCGGTAGAAAAATTATTTATGATTATGACCATATCAATGATACTCATGTCAACACAGAAGTGCTGAACAGAGCAGTTGGGCATCAGTTGTTTAGACAAAACCAAAAAAAATGGGCCAATAACATCTACAATACTAATTTTATGAAAGTATTTATGAAACAATCATACAGACTGAAGTTACTAACAATCTACGAAAGCACATAAATAAGGATGGGATAAAGAAAACAGAAATAGAATTGTTGTTATATATTCTCCGATGCGATTGGCCAAGATTCAAATAAATTGTAACATCTAAAAACATTTAAACAGTATAATTATTGACGAATTACAACATATTTATCTGTAATACATATGACAAGGGTTACGATATAACCACGTGCAGTTAAATACCAAGCTTTCAGCAAGTCAAATGAAACAAATATTCCGAAATCTGCCAAAGGCACTGAATCTGCATCTTTCAGAGTTATATATTTATCATAATTTATTTTTAGCAATTGTTCAACGCCCGAATACATCCCTATTACCAGCAGTATTTGGCGGACTAGGAGCTATACTTACTTTAGTATTGATAATTGTTGTTGTAGTAGTTATCAGGTAATGAGGACATTAGAACTATTTAGTATATTTAAACCTTTACTCCTAGGTCTATAGCTCCTCGCGTATATATCTACATCATTGCCTTTTTAACGTTTTGGTATGAGCGTTCCTGATGAGGGTAGGTTCAAATGGACGCTTTGGATGAACGCAATCTAAAAGTGTTATTTTCATTTACGAGCACTAGGTGGATATCCTTGCTCGTGGACTATTAGTCCCCGAGGGTATCATCAGCTCAATAGTCAGTGCTTTGGTACTGACATGATTTCTAAAAAACAACTTTCTTAAAAATAAATTTCCCTTGATTTATTTAGAATTTATTAAGATACTTAGGTTCCAATTTCCTAAGGCAAAGTTGACCTTAGGTAAATGTTGGTCTCTTATGGTCATATGGGGACTACATAACAGTAAGAAAATCAATAAAACGAAAAAATCAATATAAAAATCAAATACTAATGAACTCAAAATCGTTAACCTTTTTTCTAATTTTTTTCTAACAGTTGAGCTTGCGCATTAACCTATTCCTGTTCTGTTGATGGACACCTCAATGTTGTTAGTCAAACGATTTCCCTCAAATTTGTATAACTGATTACCAAAAACAAAAATGAGGACGAACATTTTGAATTTATTCTATTTGTGTACGTAATAAAATGAGTCTAGAGCATATTCAACATACGATTTTATAGCAAACAAAATGAGTTCTCTGGGGGAAAACTCAACTTAGTTCAATTAGGCAGATTTTTGTATTTGTACACGGATCAGTAATAAGCTTTGTTCTTAGGTAAACGTTATTATGCCTTTAATTAAACTATACTTTCAAACGAGAGAAAAAAAAAAACCGCTACCTGCAGATAGCGTTTTTTGTTGCTTTCCTTGAAAATGACGTCATATATGAAATTCCTAACAATAGGAACAACATTCAATACCTTTCCGTAATTCAGTTACTTTTTTGCTGTGAATTTGTTTTACAATAAATGTTAATATATATGTTCCGGACCATATTAAGTCTAAATTGAAAACAACGTTCAAACCTATGATTGCGTTGGATAAAAACCGCAATTTTTATACGTGTGCATGCAAAACAAATTTCTTGGTAGAGGGGTATTAATACAACACAAACAACATTTTCAAAAAGACCAAAAAAAGTGAAAAAGTATATTTTAACAAAACGCATTTGACTTGCAGGTCGAACAACGGATGTTCTTAAACCCTGCTGATATATAGGGAAAAAATATAAGACTGATATCCATGAATATCTGTGAAACAGTGAAACCGGTAGGAAATTATGGAGAACATTTTAGAACAATTTGATGTCTTAATAGATAAAATGTGATTATTCATATTGAATATAAGTATTTAGTGCATTTTCAGCCTTATTATTTTTTTCTTATTTTAAGCACAGCCTAGACAAATTTTATAACTTTTCAATATATATATATATATATATATATATATAAACAAGTCTAAATTGAAAACAACGTTCAAACCTATGATTGCGTTGGATAAAAACCGCAATTTTTATACGTGTGCATGCAAAACAAATTTCTTTGTAGAGGGGTCTAAGTACAGCACAAACAACATTTTCCAAAAGACCAAAAAAGTGAAAAAGTATATTTTAACAAAACGCATTTGACTAACAGGTCGAACAACAAATGTTCTTAAACCCTGATGACTGCCATTGACGATTGCCAAATAAACGGATCACCGATGTAATGAATGGATCTTAATTTTAAATTTAATACTAAACAGAAAACAACAAACTTGCGGAAAGGTGGTATACCGCAAACAAAAGGGGCAAAGGTTTTTGTACACCATATCCGGATTTCGACAAATAATGTCTCTTCAGTGATGTTAGGAATCGAAACGGTATTTGGAAAGCCCAACAATTTATCTCAATTTAGGATAGACTCTTGAATTTTGAGGAGTCAAAATAGGATGAACGGATCATATAAACCCTAAGGCAAATATAATACAAGCCCAAACGAAAAATTATAAACAAGTCTAAATTGAAAACAACGTTCAAACCTATGATTGCGTTGGATAAAAACCGCAATTTTTATACGTGTGCATGCAAAATAAATTTCTTGTTAGAGGGGTCTAAATACAGCACAAACAACATTTTCCAAAAGACCAAAAAAATGAAAAAGTATATTTTAACAAAACGCATTTGACTAACAGGTCGAACAACAAATGTTCTTAAACCCTGCTGACTGCCATTGGCGATTGCCAAATAAACGGATCACCGATGTAATAAATGGATCTTAATTTTAAATTTAATACTAAACAGAAAACAATAAACTTGCGGAAAGGTGGTATACCGCAAACAAAAGGGGCAAAGGTTTTTGTACACCATATCCGGATTTCGACAAATAATGTCTCTTCAGTGATGTTAAGAATCGAAACGGTATTTGGAAAGCCCAACAATTTATCTCAATTTAGGATAGACTCTTGAATTTTGAGGGGTCAAAATAGGAAGAACGGATCATATAAACCCTAAGGCAAATATAATACAAGCCCAAACGAAAAATTATAAACAAGTCTAAATTGAAAACAACGTTCAAACTTGTGATTGCGTTTGATAAAAACCGCAATTTTTATACGTGTGCATGCAAAATAAATTTCTTGTTAGAGGGGTCTAAATACAGCATAAACAACATTTTCCAAAAGAACAAAAAAGGGAAAAAGTATATTTAAACAAAAAGTGAAAAAGTATATTTTAACAAAACGCATTTGACTAACAGGTCGAACAACAAATGTTCTTGAACCCTGCTGACTGCCATTGGCGATTGCCAAATAAACGGATCACCGATGTAATAAATGGATCTTAATTTTAAATTTAATACTAAACAGAAAACAATAAACTTGCGGAAAGGTGGTATACCGCAAACAAAAGGGGCAAAGGTTTTTGTACACCATATCCGGATTTCGACAAATAATGTCTCTTCAGTGATGTTAAGAATCGAAACGGTATTTGGAAAGCCCAACAATTTATCTCAATTTAGGATAGACTCTTGAATTTTGAGGGGTCAAAATAGGAAGAACGGATCATATAAACCCTAAGGCAAATATAATACAAGCCCAAACGAAAAATTATAAACAAGTCTAAATTGAAAACAACGTTCAAACTTATGATTGCGTTGGATAAAAACCGCAATTTTTATACGTGTGCATGCAAAATAAATTTCTTGTTAGAGGGGTCTAAATACAGCATAAACAACATTTTCCAAAAGAACAAAAAAGGGAAAAAGTATATTTAAACAAAAAGTGAAAAAGTATATTTTAACAAAACGCATTTGACTAACAGGTCGAACAACAAATGTTCTTGAACCCTGCTGACTGCCATTGGCGATTGCCAAATAAACGGATCACCGATGTAATAAATGGATCTTAATTTTAAATCTAATACTAAACAGAAAACAATAAACTTGCGGAAAGGTGGTATACCGCAAACAAAAGGGGCAAAGGTTTTTGTACACCATATCCGGATTTCGACAAATAATGTCTCTTTAGTGATGTTAGGATTCGAAACGGTATTTGGAAAGCCCAACAATTTATCTCAATTTAGGATAGACTCTTGAATTTTGAGGAGTCAAAATAGGATTAACGGATCATATAAACCCTAAGGCAAATATAATACAAGCCCAAACGAAAAATTATAAAGAAGTCTAAATTGAAAACAACGTTCAAACCTATGATTGCGTTGGAAAAAAACTGCAATTTTTATACGTGTGCATGCAAAATAAATTTCTTGTTAGAGGGGTCTAAATACAGCACAAACAACATTTTCCAAAAGACCAAACAAGTGAAAAAGTATATTTTAACAAAACGCATTTGACTAACAGGTCGAACAACAAATGTTCTTAAACCCTGCTGACTGCCATTGGCGATTGCCAAATAAACGGATCACCGATGTAATAAATGGATCTTAATTTTAAATTTAATACTAAACAGAAAACAATAAACTTGCGGAAAGGTGGTATACCGCAAACAAAAGGGGCAAAGGTTTTTGTACACCATATCCGGATTTCGACAAATAATGTCTCTTCAGTGATGTTAAGAATCGAAACGGTATTTGGAAAGCCCAACAATTTATCTCAATTTAGGATAGACTCTTGAATTTTGAGGAATCAAAATAGGAGGAACGGATCATATAAACCCTAAGGCAAATATAATACAAGCCCAAACGAAAAATTATAAACAAGTCTAAATTAAAAACAACGTTCAAACTTATGATTGCGTTGGATAAAAACCGCAATTTTTATACGTGTGCATGCAAAATAAATTTCATGTTAGAGGGGTCTAAATACAGCATAAACAACATTTTCCAAAAGAACAAAAAAGTGAAAAAGTATATTTAAACAAAAAGTGAAAAAGTATATTTAAACAAAAAGTGAAAAAGTATATTTAAACAAAAAGTGAAAAAGTATATTTAAACAAAAAGTGAAAATGTATATTTTAACAAAACGCATTTGACTAACAGGTCGAACAAAAAATGTTCTTAAACCCTGCTGACTGCCATTGGCGATTGCCAAATAAACGGATCACCGATGTAATAAATGGATCTTAATTTTAAATTAAATACTAAACAGAAAACAATAAACTTGCGGAAAGGTGGTATAACGCAAACAAAAGGGGCAAAAGTTTTTGTACACTTTATCCGGATTTCGACAAATAATGTCTCTTCAGTGATGTTAAGAATCGAAACGGTATTTGGAAAGCCCAACAATTTATCTCAATTTAGGATAGACTCTTGAATTTTGAGGAGTCAAAATAGGATTAACGGATCATATAAACCCTAAGGCAAATATAATACAAGCCCAAACGAAAAATTATAAACAAGTCTAAATTAAAAACAACGTTCAAACTTATGATTGCGTTGGATAAAAACCGCAATTTTTATACGTGTGCATGCAAAATAAATTTCTTGTTAGAGGTGTCTTAATACAGCATAAACAACATTTTCCAAAAGAACAAAAAAGTGAAAAAGTATATTTAAACAAAAAGTGAAAAAGTATATTTTAACAAAACGCATTTGACTAACAGGTCGAACAAAAAATGTTCTTAAACCCTGCTGACTGCCATTGGCGATTGCCAAATAAACGGATCACCGATGTAATAAATGGATCTTAATTTTAAATTTATTACTAAGCAGAAAACAATAAACTTGCGGAAAGGTGGTATACCGCAAACAAAAGGGGCAAAGGTTTTTGTACACTTTATCCGGATTTCGACAAATAATGTCTCTTTAGTGATGTTAAGAATCGAAACGGTATTTGGAAAGCCCAACAATTTATCTCAATTTAGGATAGACTCTTGAATTTTGAGGAGTCAAAATAGGATGAACGGATCATATAAACCCTAAGGCAAATATAATACAAGCCCAAACGAAAAATTATAAACAAGTCTAAATTGAAAACAACATTCAAACCAATGATTGCGTTGGATAAAAACCGCAATTTTTATACGTGTGCATGCAAAATTATTTCTTGTTAGAGGGGTCTAAATACAGCACAAACAACATTTTCCAAAAGACAAAAAAAAAATAAAAAAGTATATTTTAACAAAACGCATTTGACTAACAGGTCGAACAACAAATGTTCTTAAACCCTGCTAACTGCCATTGGCGATTGCCAAATAAACGGATCACCGATGTAATAAATGGATCTTAATTTTAAATTTAATACTAAACAGAAAACAATAAACTTGCGGAAAGGTGGTATAACGCAAACAAAAGGGGCAAAAGTTTTTGTACACTTTATCCGGATTTCGACAAATAATGTCTCTTCAGTGATGTTAAGAATCGAAACGGTATTTGGAAAGCCCAACAATTTATCTCAATTTAGGATAGACTCTTGAATTTTGAGGAGTCAAAATAGGATGAACGGATCATATAAACCCTAAGGCAAATATAATACAAGCCCAAACGAAAAATTATAAACAAGTCTAAATTGAAAACAACGTTCAAACCTATGATTGCGTTTGATAAAAACCGCAATTTTTATACGTGTGCATGCAAAATAAATTTCTTGTTAGAGGGGTCTAAATACAGTACAAACAACATTTTCCAAAAGACCAAAAAAGTGAAAAAGTATATTTAAACAAAACGCATTTGACTAACAGGTCGAAAAACAAATGTTCTTAAACCCTGCTGACTGCCATTGGCGATTGCCAAATAAACGGATCACCGATGTAATAAATGGATCTTAATTTTAAATTTAATACTAAACAGAACACAATAAACTTGCAGAAAGGTGGTATACCGCAAACAAAAGGGGCAAAGGTTTTTAACACTATATCCGGATTTCGACAAATAATGTCTCTTCAGTGATGTTAAGAATCGAAACGGTATTTGGAAAGCCCAACAATTTATCTCAATTTAGGATAGACTCTTGAATTTTGAGGAGTCAAAATAGGATGAACGGATCATATAAACCCTAAGGCAAATATAATACAAGCCCAAACGAAAAATTATTAACAAGTCTAAATTGAAAACAACATTCAAACCTATGATTGCGTTGGATAAAAACCGCAATTTTTTATATATATATATATATAATGACTCTAAATATCAGCACAACAATGTTAAATTTGCAAACATTTTTCTTCCCTCGCCGGGATTCGAACTCATGCTATTGAGATATGGAGACAACACCGCCTGCACTGTATCCAGCGCTCTCGACCACTGGGCCACCTAGACTGAACTAAAAATTCAGCTTTCGGTGGCCTAGTGTTACCTTTCCTCGTCAGTAGAATCTAGAGTTGTAACACAATACATGATATATAAGGCATGAAGATGGAATTGATTGCAGATTAGCTAAATTATCTATCGTAGAGGATCGTAAGATGCAGTCACAGACATAATTATTTGATAAGTACGTATAAACAAGTGACAACTCTACGACATATCCATTCATTGGATCACCAGTGATACACGGCTGAAAACACATACTATATAAATCTGCTGTTAACGGGATATCGAAAGAATTCTACAGGTTTGATGACTTCGTCCCCTTTCACAGGCAAAAACTGCATCATATTACATCTCATAACGTTACAACATATTTGCATATCCCTAGGTTTGAAATGATTGAGTTTGAGCGTTCCTGGTGAAGGTGGAACCAGAGGGGCGCTTCGGACACATGGAATTTAAAAATGTTATTTCATTTAAAAACTACACTAAAAAAAATTAAAATACACATAATTAACTTGTTAGAAAACCCAATTTGATACACTATATTGGGATACATTATTAAACCTTCATACCGAAGCTTATTGTGACAAAATTAGAAGACATATGTTTTCTTTTCCATCCTTGTTCATATTATCTGTACAACTTAGTCACTGCCTACCCTGAATCCAATAATCCATTCAGATTTATATAGCATTATTTCTTACCTTCTGTACTTTGGCATTCTATGATTAATCAATGCATGGCTAATAACAGCTAATACCAATTTCAAGTGTTTCGGTACTTTATTGGCTTTCAAATGTTTTGACTTTGAGCGTTCCTGGACTATCGTGAAATAGTTTTAAAAATTGGAGAAATAAAACAAACATCAGTTGTTCGATTTTAACAAAATGAAGTTAATCATTTATGCAATTTAGGTTCTCCTCATTACAGAATCTTGGGTCGTTTTGGAGGTCGGTTCATACCCATTTTGCCATGATTAAGTATGGATTCAGAACTAAATATGTGGAACTGAATAGATAATAAAGATTCTTCTACAAAATAAACACATAAATTAAAACTGTTATTTGTTTCTCAAATAAATGTAGGTAAAAAAACATGTCATAATCATGATAATAGGTGCCATTTTGGTACCCTTACGTTATAAAGGTAAGAGTTGACAAACATGTTCTTTATTGTATCTTGTAGTGTAAAATTGGAACCGTTAATGGTATTATTCAAATAAGCAAAATTCTTGCAATTGCCGTGAACTAATTTATTGTATGATAAGAATTGCACTCGTAGATGTGAACATGAGTTTTGTTAAAAGAATGAAGACATTCTGATTGTTTGATGCGATCTGAAAATATTTATGTATGTTGTATTTATAAACATGTATAATACATAGATTTTTTTTTGGCAGCCGCATATAATTGGAGATCGATATTTCATTTTATCATTAAATGTTCTGTGCTTTCTTTTCTCTGAATTTTGTTTATAAAGCTCATTCATAAAGTGTTAAAGTATTTTTTTTATAAGATAAAAGATAAGTTGAGTTTTTTTTCGGTTCAATTTTTATGTGCCAACAACATTTGTTTTCAAGCATCTTTTGCTTTCCTACTTTTTATTTCCAATAAAAGTAAATAAAAATACGCAAATCCATTAAAGCAAAATTGGCGTATTTACCTTGATTCCATGATAAACAGAAAAAAAAGGTTTAAAGATGAATGTTTGTTTGTGTCGTCTGATTTGTCACAGTATTTTAATTAAACATATAGCCCAAAATGTATGTTTTTGATTTCAGCTTACATGTAGTATTGAAGATAAGGATAACAACAGTGTAATTTATATAACCGTAGAGTTGGTTTTCTTAAGGAGAACTGAACTGTGCTGAGCATATTCCGTTTGATGTTGTACGATATGGGACTAAAGGTCACTCGAATTTTGCAAGTCCTGACTTATTGGGTAGATGTTAATATGGATATATACAAGTGATAAAAAAACATGTTTTTAACATCAGTTGTTTGAATTACGATATGCAAGTTTTCGATAGGAATGATAGCTACTTCAGTTTTGATACTAAATTGAATTTTTATTTACCTCTTCAAGGCGGAGATCCAAGAAAGGTAAACCAAAAAGTGTCAAACGTAAGGAGCCGTCAAAAGACATTAACAATCCTGAAGTTTACGCACAAGTCAGCAAGACAGGTATAATATTTTTAATACATAAAGTTTATTTTGGGAATGTGAACACCTGGTATTAATTATATTAAAAGATTCATTCAATATATCTGAAGTCGGGGTTTAAAAAATATGTGTGAATAAAAGGATTCGCATTAACTCAGAATGGAGTGAAACCAGATGCATCAAAACAATAATCAACTCCTATAGTTATACGTGTCAAAATATGAATACAACAAAACCAGTAATAATATCAAAAAGACAATTGTGGACATGTGGAATCAATGACATATATGTCTGTAGTAAGTGTTGGTCAACTGTGATACGTGAAAGTCAGAGGCTTGGTAGATATTATTAAATACTCAAGTAGGGGAAAACGAAAGCAGATACCGAAGGTGCAAACATTAAAAAACAAAATTACACTTGTGAAACGGTTTTCATTGTGTGTGTCATAGATCGTAATTTTGAACTTTCCACCATCGTCTAGATGTAAAAACAAAACAGACCCTCTGTTTACTCCTTAAGGCAGCAAGTAGAAAACAAAAACAATGTCGTTCATGTTACATGATTGATTAATTTGAGTTAAATGTTCAGTATCAGGTAATAATAAATGTCACTGTAAAGAAAAAAAAATATTTATATAATTGAATATGAGCAACAGTCGCACCCAAAATGTACTTGCCTCTAAGATGTGTTAAAAAATGTTAATGTGGGTAAAATGTTTTTTTATGTAGGGTGTGGGTCACATGAAGTTTTGCCTTAAGGCATCGGCTAAATGACCATTTAAAGTCAAATATAGCAATATTAGCATTCTTATGATATCATAATGAGATTCATTTACATAAGTATTCAGATTATACTATCATTTTCATTGATAAAAAAAAATTATCATAATCTTGAAAGGATTGAAGATATTAACCCTTTATGTCATTACATGGGTCAGATATCGGTTCTTAACATGTCCCTTCTTTCACGAAAAAAAGAGATGCTATATGGGCAATCAAAACCATAATCACAAAATGACAGACAACATCATGACAGAAAAAAACTCAAAAGAGGAACAGTCCACAAAACACAACTCTGAAAGTTTAAGCAAAACAAACCCCATCATAAAGAAAAAACATCGGATAATTGAATATATTTATTAAACAGTAACCAGTAACTATTTTTTTAAATGTTGCAATGCATATGAATTAAATTTTATAGCTATTCTAAAACCGAACATTGAGGAATTTATTGTCTAAAGCTCAAATTTTGGAAGAATACATTACGATATAAGACTTAATCGGACGGGAGATGTTATTAGTACATTAATACTTTTACACACCTTTGGGTGTCAGAATTGCCCAAAGAAAGATCTTTCTACGGTCGATCTTTATGTTTCTCCAACATTTGATATGTTTGTAAATAGGTAAATTAATTCTTGTTCGAGAAACGTGATTGTTATGTTATAAGGTTTAATGATTTAACCTTTCATTACCCGACTATCGGTAAATGATCGTTAAAAAACGGTGGTTAAGCATTGCGAAAGGATCGTTGAAGATCTGGTAACGGATCGTGAATACGATTTGATAAATTTAACTGCAAAATCTGTGACATCATTAAAATGCCGTAAAATAAAGAAAAAAGAAATATGTTTGTCATAATGTTCTTATTTCCTTAATGATATTGAGCACTAAGATAAAGAAAAAATGCAGTACGTTTTAAGAAAACACATAAAGCGATACATAACCTTATTACCATTTAAGAAAAATAAAAATAACGTTTTGGATCTATAATGGTCACATTCTTATAAATCTTGATATATTTGCAACTAAATCTTTTATATGTCAGATAGAATAGTAAATCTGAAGTGCTATTTTCCCTGAAAAGGTTTAGATTATTTTTAAATTGTTATTTTGAAAAGCAGATTATATTTTTAAACACACGATTTAGAAGAATTGTTTTCTCAGTTTTGTATGGCAATACTGGCACGAAAAAGGCAGATAATCATTATGTAAATGATCATGTAATTCGAAAAAAAGTACATCCATAGGTCATGTGTGTGAATCAACAAGATTGTATACTTTAGTTATTTTTTATAATCATACACAAGGATGTGGTGCAATTAAGGTTTTGTTAAAAATTTTATAAAAAGTTCTGCATTATTAAATCGATCTCACATAATGTCCCTTTTTGTAGCGAAAAATTAACATAGCTTCACATTAGTTATTTCAAAAGTTAACTGTATGTTAACGTTTTCTGGTATTTCAGACAAATAAACGGAGGAAAGAACACACGATAACTATCAAATGAATAACTGTGGTTTGCATTTAAAAAGGATAAATAATGAACTTACACAGGTCTTTATTTTATGCCTTGAAGCACATTTTATTGAAACTTTGTATCGTCCAGTCATTTCTTCAAAAGAAAGACACATTGTGCATTTTAGATAACTCCGTTTACATATCGGAATGTTAAATAACAAATGAAATTGTCACAATAAGTGCATCTAACCATAAAAGTCTTGAATGAATTCGTACGCAAGAAGGAAAAAAAAGAAGAAACAAAAATTGACGAACAAGGCACGCAAAGCTGAATACATTTTTTTTCTAAATATAAGGAAGAATATCACGTTTAGATAAATATAATTAAAATATATTGATGATTGATTGACGGTGTTCAATAACAGTTTCATCTCGCTCGGTTATATCTTGGCGGCCAGTTTTATTGGTGGAGAAGCCGGAATACCAAGAGAAAACCACAAAAATTCGACAGAAAAACTGGCATTCCTAGTACATTAAGATAGGTCTAACCATAAAAGTCTTTAATGAATTCGTACACAAGAAGGAAAAAAAAAAGAAGAAACAAAAATTGACGAACAAGGCACGCAAAGCTGAATACATTTTTTTAAATATAAGGAAGAATATCACGTTTAGATAAATATAATTAAAATATATTGATGATTGATTGACGGTGTTCAATAACAGTTTCATCTCGCTCGGTTATATCTTGGCGGCCAGTTTTATAGGTGGAGAAAGCCGGAATACCAAGAGAAAACCACAAAAATTCGACAGAAAAACTGGCATTCCTAGTACATTAAGATAGGAGTCGAACGCACCCCCACGGGCGGTGTTCCAACTTACAACCTCGGTTTTGACTGTCTTGTGAACGTTGAAGAAGACCTACTTGTAGTTACGACAATTATAGCGTATCCGTCGTCATCTGTGAAACAGATATTCCATAACTGTTAACCAACTCGTAATGGCGTCCGTAAAATTTACGAATGGATGATTTCAACTTCACCACTTTGAACTCTTGGTTTAATAGCTTCCTTGTGAGCTGCAACCCTCTATCAAGGAAATCATGATAGGAAACACAAGCCCTGGAATATCGTATCAACTGAGAGATATATACTGCGTATGCAGGCGCTGCTGGAATATTGCTACATAAAAATGGAATGTTCACAATTGGGAAGCTGAAATCATCTCTTTTGTCGTAAAGTTTAGTTTTTAACTGACCCTTATTGTAAATTTCTAGATGTAAGTCAAGATATGAGGCAGACTTGACAGTATCTGTTGTATTCCTAACTCAAGATCGATGGGATGAGATGCGTTCAACATAGTCACCAAATTTTGAATTATTTAGTGAGAGAACATCATCATATAGCTGAAAATGAAGTTAAAGGATACTACTAACTTCTTACCTTCATTTTAAGAAGTTCCTGTATGAAATCAGCCTCATATGAATAAAGGAACAAGTCGGTAAGAAGGGGAGCACAGTTGGTTCCTATGGGAATGCCGATTGTTTGTTGAAAACACGTCCTCCAAATGTAACAAATATGTTGTCAATCAAGAAATCAAACCTCTTTATAATGTCAGTTTCAGGGATTTTTTTTGTTTGAATCAGAGTGATTTTTTACAAAGTACGATTTATCCCCCCTAAGATAAGCTATTTTTTTTTTATGAAACAACTCTTTCAATTTGTCTTTAAGTTTGGAATGGGGAATACTTGTGTAAAGTGTAGAAAAGTAATATGTTTTAATATTATTGCAATATGAAAGAGTCTTAGATTGTATGTACTTTAAAAGAATTTTTTAGTATCCGCATCTGATTCACGCCACCTCTAGAATATGCACTAAGAAGACGCAGCAATATAACGTTGTTTGTAAGGACACTTATGTAGTTTAGATATCCAATACAGTGAAGGAAGATCCTGTTCTTCATCTTTGGTTGAAATTTTAAGGAACATAGAACAGACCTTTGATTATCCAGAATATCCTCCTTGGTAAGTGTCGTCGGGGTATATGTTGAGTTTCCAAGTGAATTGTCGATACCAAATCCATTTATCAAGTGATTTACACACAAAAACGATGTTGTTTGGAGCTTTATCTGCGGGGAAAAGAAAATATTTGTCATGGAGGTAGGACAGATGTTTTGAAACATTAGGGTCTTTAAAGATTGATGTAGCATTGGTGTTCATAGACCTATTCAGTTTTTTTTTAATTCTGATTTGTATCAACGACCTCACAGCCTTAATCCATTCGGAAAAAGCATCTACGTCTTCTCTCTCGCGTTTAACCCATTGCCTGGCATAATCTTCGACTGAATCCATCAGTATTTTGAAGTTGTGTTTCGAATTGGTGGATATAGGCTCACGATATTTCGGGCCTTAGGATAACACATTTCGCAGAGAAGTGTTACTTGCAATGTTTAGGTCACCAGTAATAACGTGGCCAGCCGGATAATAAATGAATAGGGAACTAGCACAGGTGCAATCAGGAGGTTTAGACTTGAAGTCGTCAATATTGAGATCCTGCAACATGTGTTTGTATTTGAAATTTTAGTTGCAATTAGTTTGTATAGGTATAAGAAATGATAGATACAGACTGATCTTTAAAATAGGGAGGTATTTTCGATTAAACTGATTTATGATTAAGGATATTGGCTAAATTGATGGCATCGAGACCTTTGTTTGCGAAGGAAATTTTTATAAAGGATCTTTACATCTTTTCCAATGCGAACTGGTTTAAAAAGTCTTTGACTTGC